CAGAGCTGCTTCCCTCCTGCAGAGCTCTGTTGCAATTCTCTCTGCACAACAGCACCTGCTATTCCTGCTGGGCCAGGGTGGGAAGGAGACTGTTGGAGAAGAGGAAGTGACTAATTCATCTGGTTGCTTACAGCCTGTGACTGAGGCACCAGTGGGGTGGTGAAACCTGGGTTTTCCAGGATAAGTTTACTGCATTTTCAGTCCAAGCAGGTATTTAGCAAACAGCTTGTCTGAATTTCACTTTTTATTCCAGCCCCACCTAATGAGTCAGGATCTTCCTGAAGACTGGGACAAGCAGCCTGTCAAAGTTCTGGTTGGGAAGAACTTTGAAGAAGTTGCTTTTGATGAGAATAAGAATGTATTTGTGGAGTTTTGTGAGTATCTTTCTACAGCTGATTCCATGTAACTGGTGTGAAAGGATTGCCAAAACGCTGTGTGACCAGGATTAGGGGAAAAGGCTTTTGCAGTCTGGGCTGCAAAAGCAGTGCCTTGGTTGCAAAGATCTGTGAGAACTGTCTGGTTGGGGAGGAGTGGTACCTCGTTAGATTGTTGGTGCAATTTTGTCTCTGTAATTAACAGATGCCCCATGGTGTGGTCACTGCAAGCAGCTGGCCCCAATCTGGGACAAGCTGGGAGAAACCTACAGGGACCATGAGAACATTGTCATTGCCAAGATGGACGCGACGGCTAATGAAGTGGAGGCAGTGAAAATCCACAGCTTCCCCACACTCAAGTTCTTCCCTGCAGGCTCTGGCAGAAATGTAAGCAGGCAGCCAGGGAGCACGGGAATGCTCAGCTGCTTGCTCGAGTTGTTTTGGACAAGACCTTTGGGAGGGATCTGCATTCTGTCGGGATGGAACACAGCAAGTCTACAGGACACCCAAGACCCTTTGTGGGGTCTGGGCTGTAGGAAAGAGTTTGGGGGGAAGTGGGAATGGGGAAAAGAGGGAGCTAAGAGGACAGTGTGCTCATCTGCAGGCTATTCTTTCCTCGCAGTGATCTCTGAAGTCTAGTGGCTGAGCTGTTTTCCTTCGTCTCATATGGGTGAAGGTGAATTTTTAAATTCCCTTTTGCTTGGCATGTTCACTGTTGCTCAGAAAGAGAATTCTCCTCTCCAGGGGTGTGGGTCTGTAGTGCCCATAACCAGCATCCTCATGTTTTCCCTGTGTAGGTAATTGACTATAATGGGGAGAGGACACTAGAAGGCTTCAAAAAATTCCTGGAGAGCGGTGGTCAGGATGGGGCAGCAGCTGATGATGTGAGTAATGTGAATGGAGTACTCTTTGGGGGAACAGGGAGCATGGGTCAGATCTGGTTCTGGGCCTGAATCCTCAGTCCTAAATAAGATCCTGTGTTGTTACATATCAGGAGAGCATATTGCTGGTGAACAACATGCCCATGTCAGTGTGATCTGTCCAGGTGCAGCCTGGCTGGCTTTGGGCCTGCACTGGATTCCTTTTCTGGAGAGCACCCTGTGGGTATAAAGCAGCAGTGCTGTGTTGTGCACTGCTGGGGCACTCGGCCCCTGAACTGGGCTGTGTGATCAATACCACAGGTCTTTGTATCTACTTGGAAGCTCTCACCTGCTGGGGGGAGGTGTGTGGAGGCTGTTACAGGTGTACAGGTAACCAGCTTCCAGGGGTTCCTAATCCTTAATGTCCTGAATCTGAAGCTCTTGATAGAAGTCTCTGGATATTCTGTTAGCATGGCAGGAGAGAGCAGTGACCAGATGAGGGCTGCTGGTTCTGGATCTGCCTCATGTGCCAGAAGCCAGGAGCTGTCTGTAACCTTCACAGGATCTGGAGGACCTGGAGACAGATGAAGAAACAGAACTTGAGGAAGGTGATGAGGATGAGCAGAAACTCCAGAAGGATGAATTGTAAAGAGAAGACTGATCTACATCACCCAAAAAAATCAGACACTAAATTGGCTGCTGTGATGCAGCCCAGTGAGTCAGAAACCCATTAAGATTTAAAGCAGAAGGTAAATGACTGGAAATCCAGGGATTGGCTTCTAAAGTAACACTTTACCCTCACTTGTCTGTACACTTACCTTTTCTTTCTTTTGGCTTTTGAAAAGGGAACTGTCACTAGGGAGCCAGCCCAGCCAGCTGGGCTTTTTTCTATTGTGATGTACTTTTTTTGTACACAGCTTTTGTCTGGAGAACTCTGTTCTTCTGGGCAGCGGGAGGTTGTGAGGTGGTACCAGGAGTTCAGTGGCCTGACAATCTGGAGCCTTGCCACTAACATCTTCCAAGACAGCTTTTTTTCTCTTTTTCTTTTAAAACTAAAGCCCCTAATTGATTTCTGCACCTGGCAGGGTCCTTTCCCTGGGGCTGGCCTTCAATATATGTAGGGGCAGAGGGCTGATGGCTTCCTGGGGAAAGGTGTATGTGAAGGTGCTTCTCTTCATGCTAGCCAGATGTTTCCTTTCCCTTCTCCTTTAAGACACTTGGAGATGACTATTCCAAACTCCTGGAGAGGTGGAATACTGTGCACTGGCTGTGGCAGGCTCTGAGGGTGGAGGTGGCTGCTGGCTCACCAGCTGTGTTGACATCCTTTTGATCAAAGACAAGAGTTGCAATCCCTTTCCATGAATTATTTTGAGTGGGTTGACCCGGCAGGTGGGTGGTGGGGGAGGGCCTGATAAACAGATCAAACAGGACTTTTGCAATTACTGGGGTTTGGGAATGTGACTGAGGGAGTGCCTCACAGGCCTGAGCTGCATCAGGCTGGTTCTTAGCATTCTGCTACAATAACATTGGTACTGAATTTGATGGCCAAATAAAGTTGAGATTTTAATACTATCATGTCTCTTTGTTTTTATCAGGGTGTAGAATATTTGAACCTACACTGTAAGGGGAGATCAGAGTTGTAGGGTCATGCTCAAGGGCCTCTGCTGCAATGGGCTGTTGTCACTCTCCATGTAATTTGTGAAGTAGAACATCCCAGTTCTCACGTCCTGTCCACATTCCATGGGCTTGTGCAGGTGCTCTGTTGGGAGGGAGCAGGCCGTGGTTTGGCTCTGAGAGTGCACAGCCCCTGGGCCAGCTGGCTGGGCTGAGGGGGCATTGCTCTGGAGCAGTGAATCAGGGCACGCCAGGGCTGCTGTGGCTCTGCTAGTCAGGCTCACATGACCCTGTGAGGCACGCTGCTATTTCCAAACCTCCTGCTTGCTGCTGAAGGTATTTTGGTTAGAAAATATGCTATAAATATGCTATAAATGTCACAGGGAGGGCACGATGAGGCTAGAGGACAACGGGGGACACCTCTGTGCCTCTCAGCGAGTGGGATGTGTGCTGAAGCAGTGGCACAGGTGTGTTGGACAACACTTGTCTCTGTCTCCAGCCCCAGCATTCTCCTGCTGTGCCCTGGGCGACGAGCCCCAGCAGAGCCCTGATGTGGTATTCCCAAGCTTTGGGCACAGCAGCACCAGGGCTGGGGCTGAGCAGGCACCCACTCACCAAGGGATCAGGAAGGGCTGTCCCTGACAGAACAGCAGCCAGGTGTGTGTGAGACCTGTACCTGCAGTTACATGCAGGACGATCTTTAAAGACGCCTCCCTCCAGGGCTGTGCCCCACATGACTCAAGGTAGGCAGTGGCCACTCCTGCACTCCAACAAACCCAGCAGTGCTGTTGGCCTGGCCTGGTTGGTGACAGCTGCTTTGTCTTTGGGGTGGAGTTCCACTGGAAGGTGCTGTCTTATAATTTGACTTGAATAAGTCCATTTTGTACAGCCAGTTGAACTGTGACCAAGTCAGAGCTCTGCAGTGGTTCTCCTCTGTTCCTGGGCAGAGAGCCACTGGGCTCAGCTTAGAGAAAGTGCCTCTCCTAGCCCAAGGCTCCCTGTGGTAGAGCAGGAGCTTAGCAGCCATCTGATGTACATGCCTAATTGCTGTTCCAAGAAAGCAGGCTGGAAGTGTTCTGTCCTCAGCACTGAGCTTGGATGCCCTGTGCTGTGTTCAGGCTCATCTAACCACAAGCAGATGCTTGGCCAAGAGATCGATGCATTTGCCAGCAGATAAACAAGTGGAGGAGGTCCGAGGTGTGTGGCTGACTGTGAGGGTCTGCAGCAGGAGGGGCAGAGTGAAATAGGGATAGCAGCATAGGGATTTTTTTCTGACACATCCACCTGGACAATCCCCATCAGCATGACAGAGCACAAAACGATTAAGAGTCTGACATGCCCAAACTTGGATGGGAGAAAACCTTGATGGACCTGAATGGTTCTTCTGTGGCAGATGGTTCTGTTTTGGGTCATGGCTGTAGCTGGACACTATCAGAGGCAGGAGCTGTCTGGTGGTGGTGCTGTTCTTCTGCTGTTCATCTAAGGCTGCTTGCAGTAGCCTGCCCTCAGCAGCAGCTGTTTCCCTGTCTCAAGTAGGACAAGGAACACCAGAGACCAGAAGTGTAGGCTTCTGCACCTGCCTCAGGATCACCAGCAGCACCTCTGTCCTCACAAGGGCACAGGGGACATCTGACACGCAGGTTGTGCTTCCATGCTGAGCAGCACAGCTCCTCCTGCTCCTTTCAAGTTGTCCCCTGCAGCTACAGGAGGGAGGGTGACAACTCTGGATGTGGTTGTGACCACAGCTCTGGAACAGCCACACTGTACTGGCCAGCTGGGACACGAGTGGTCAGTTCCCTGTGTTGCTGTGCCCCTTTCCCCAGAAGGGCTTGATGTTGGGAAATTGCTTCCAAGCTTCCCTGAAGGGCTACCCATGCAGGAGTAGATTTGACCCCTTGGATGGGCACATCAACAGGTGGATGGTAAGATGAGCCACTAACTTCTGCCCAAAAGTGGGAGGCTGCAGGCCTGGGCGGCTCGATTACGAAGCATCATGGCAAATAGCATGAGCTGCATGTCCCCAAAATAGCCCAGGGGAGTCTTTATAACGTGGTGCTCCCAGAGAATGATCAGTTCTGGGCTGCAAGTGCCAGGTGCCAGCTCCTGCGTGTGACTGGGGGAGTGCAGGAGAGCACGGTGGCTGCCACAGCGGCGAGGGGACACGGACACAGAGGCACGGCTGGAGAAGAGCAGCGCGGGGCCAGCACAGAGCTGTAGCGAGCAGGGCCCCTGACACACAGAAGAGGACAGCAGGGCTGTGAGGGGCCGGGCCGAGTGCTGGGCAGCCCCCCATGCCGCTGTGCCTGAAGGCTCCCGTCAGCATGAGGGACTATTGCCCCTTGGCGGTGCCGCGCTACGCGCCGCGCCTCAGGGCCGCCCGCACCGTGCACTTCCCCAACGACGTCGTCTTTCAGGACCACATCAAGCAGGGGGACCTGGAGCAGGTGGGCAGGTTCATACGAGCCAGGAAGGTGACACTGGACACCATCTACCCTTCTGGTGAGTGCTGCTGGCTGGCGGAGCTGGGGGAGAGCAGTGGCACAGCTTGGTAGGGCTGTGAGGGACATCACAGCTGGGCCCACCTTCAGCAGGACTGCAGCAAGCCAGGTTCCTCCCTAGCAAGGAGCAGTGCCCAGCAGGGCCCAAGAGCCCCAGGCCGGGGCACCGACATCTCCCCTCAACAGCAGAGTCAGTGCATGCTGCAGAAAGGGGGAGCTTGGCCTCTGGGTCCCTGTACGGCACAATCGAGCACATACACTGTGGTGGGACTTCCAAGAGTGGCAGCAAGCACAGGCCGGTCTGTGAGCTCTGGGCAGGGCCCTGGGGCTCCTGCATTTCTCCAGACTGGGGGATTTGCATTTGTTCCTGGCACTGCCTGTTCCCCACAAGGCACTGCTCCCTCTTGTACATCTGACTCTGGGGATTGATGGGGAAAGCTTCATGTTCTGTTTGCACAGCCTCACCAGCAACTCTTTATGAAATACCTTGACCTGTACAGGCTGATGCAGAACCCAGATTTGTCCATTTTTTGTGCTTGGGTTCAGCTTCTGTTCTCACAAGGCCATGGAGGCAGAAGCTCAAACGGCCCCCAGCTTCTTTCTGTCCATACTGATTCTTTGTTAGTGACAAGCTTCTGAAACTCAGGCAAAGCAGGACGGCAGAGACTCTTCTCATGTCTCTGTGTGAGTCCTGTCCAGGACCCAGAGCAGCTGCTCTAAGGGGCAGTTTCTCCTCTCTCCCTTTCCTGCCTTGCTGGGGCAATGGGTGCTGCACCATCCCAAACAGGGCTGGCTGGCTTTCTCAGTTAGTTTCTTTCCCCACAGTGCTCTCCCTGAGAAGGAGAGCTCCTGCAGCCCTTTTCTGAGCGATGCACAGGCTTGTGAGTTCAGCATGGAGAGCCCTTCCCCGGGCCAGGGCTAACACCTCCTGTCCCTTCAGGCATGGCAGCCCTCCATGAAGCCGTGCTGACGGGAAACCTGGACTGTGTCAAGCTCCTGGTGAAATACGGCGCTGACATCCACCAGAGAGATGAGAACGGGTGGACGCCCCTGCACATGGCCTGCAGCGACGGCTACGCTGACATAGCCAGGTAAGGGCTGTGAGGGGCTGCAGAGCCCGAGAGCCGACAGCACCGGGCTGGAGCAGAGCCTGTGCGGCCCCTTCGGGGCTGCCCGGTCCCTGCGCTGTTGCCGGGGCTGCTGGGGCCGTGCCGCTCCCGGCGATGGAGGCAGCGGGCCCGGGGCTGCCCGGCCCGGCCCGGCCTGGCGGCTCAGCTCCGCGTCCTGCAGGTACCTCCTGTCCCTTGGGGCCAGCCTGGAGGCCACCACTGATGACGGAGAGAAACCCTCGGACCTCATCGACCCCGAATACGAGGACCTGGTGCAGCTCTTCGGAGCCACCGTGCTGCGCTGAGCCGGGCACGGCGAGAAGCGGCCCCGAGAGCCTCGGGGCCGGGCCGGGGGGGGCTGCGCCTGCCCGAGGGCCGGGGCTGCGCCCGGGCTGGGCCCGGGCAGCGACCCCGCAGCGGCGCTCGGTGCTGCGAATCGGGACTCACTTTGTACTTTTCCAATAAAGCATTCGGTTACCGCCTCCGGTTAGCGCCGGCCATGGGGCGGGGCGGGGCCTGCGCGGGGCGGGGCTGGCGCTGCGCACGGGGCATGCGCCAAGGGTTGCGATAGCCGCCGGGAGGGGGCGGGGCTGCGCCTGCGCGCTGCGGCGCTTCCGTCGGTGCCGCTCGCGCAGGCGGGAGGGCCCGGGTGAGGGGCGCGCGTTGCCCGGCGACGGGCGGGGGCGCCGCGCGGCCTATCCCGGCCTCGCGCTTCGCCTTCCTCCCGCAGCCCCGCCGAGCCCCTTCCGGCCCCGCCGAGCGCCGCTGCCGCCATGGCCAGGTGAGCCCCGCCCGGCCCCGGGCCCAGCGCGGCCCCGGGCCCGGCTCAGCTTCCCCCCCCCGCGCTCCGCTTGCAGCTCCCCCGTGTCCCGGGTGGTGTACAACGGAAAGCGGAGCGGCGGCCCGCGCTCCCCCGGCGCCGGCAGCGAGATCTTCACGCCGGCCCACGAGGAGAACGTGCGCTTCATCTACGAGGGTGAGCGGGGCGGTGGCCGCTGGGCGGGGGGCGCGGGAGGCTGGGGGCGGCCGAGGCGAGCGGCCCCTGCCCCTGTTCCTGTCCCTGTCCCTGCAGCCTGGCAGTGCGTGGAGCGCGACCTGCGCAGCCAGATGGGCTCCGAGCGCGGCCTGGTCGAGGAGTACGTGGAGAAGATGCCGAACCCCAGCCTGAAAGGTGCGGGGAACAGGGGCACCGCGCCGGCTGTGCCGGCCCGGGGGTTGCGCGCGCCGGGCGGGGGCTGTGCTGCCTTTGCCCCCAAAGTCTCTCCTGTCTCCCTTGCAGCGTTTAAACCCGTCGACCTGGGTGATCTGAAGAGGAGGAACACACAGGATGCAAAGAAGTCCTAAAGCGGGTCCTCCTTGCGGGTTGGCTTCTCTCCTGAGGTCCTCAAGCAGATTTAATTTGAGATTTTGTGTTGATTTCCTCCTCTGGTCTGTCCTCCTAAAAGCTCGTGGGAGAGCCAGTCAGCTTTGGGGCTGGCTCTGAAGCTGCCTGAGGTCGAGGATGCTCAGGGCCTCACTGAGACTGCCCAGAGCCTTTTGCAAAGGATTCCAGTCCCCCGCTCATAGCTTTCTCTGGCCTCAAACTGTCCTTCCCCACTTCATACTGAGTAACCCGATCTCCTGTTCCCCTCTTGTTGCTGCCCTCTGTGCTAGGCTGGGCAGGGCCGAGGCAGATGCGCTGTTGGATCGGGCAGCACTGGGTCTCACTTTGCCCTGTGCACCAAAGCTCCACAGCTGCTGGGGCTGGCCAAAGGCAGGAGGCACAATCGAGTCTGTTCCTGTGCCTCCAGACACTGGGGCAACCCCTGTCCAGCCCTGCTGTCCAGCTGAGGGCTGGGCAGACCATAGCCAGGCTCTTCCCAGTTCCACCGTGGCAGCAAGTTGCTGCCTGGGCTGCTTGCTGCCAGAGCATGTGGGCAACATCTGAGGCCACATCTTCTACCTGCTTAGATCAGGCCTGGTCCCTGTGGTGCTGGAGGAGAAGCTGTTCCTCTCCCTGCAGTTGGAGAGGTGGAGTGTCAGCACCAGCCCCAGGCTTCTGAGAGATGCTCAGAGGGACCTGGGCCACCTGCAGCCCCACAGGAGGCAGTGGCCCTGGGGGCAGCCATGGGGCTACACGGAGCAAGGCTCAGGAGCTCCTTGCCCTGGCAACGCTGCAATTTTGTACTAACACCATTTTCCAGATATGCACCCTTGGAAGAGACCTGGCCCCTCAGCTCACCCTGGGTGGCTGTGGCTGGTAGAACACACCAGGGGCGCTTCCTTAAGCCACTCGCTCCTGGCACTGCATGGATGGTTCCTTTGTCCTTGCCTGAGCCGGAGAGAGTGACTGTGTCAACTTCACCCACCTGAGCTGCTGGGCTGCTCCGTGGGCAGGGGTGGCAGCCCCCTGCCCGCCTGTGCTTTGAGCTGGCGGGGATGGGGCTGCCAGGCCTGCCCAGTACCAGTAGCTGTGGGGAGGGCTGCAGGGACTTGGAGCTGCCAATATCTTTCCTTTGTTGAGTCCTTGAGTTGTACTGTACCCTTTCCTTTCCGTGGTATGTCACTTGAGGAGTGTTGTAAATAAACGCTGGTGTCCTTTTGGGGCTGCCTTGGTGTGGTGCTGCAGCCTGGCCCAGCTCTGGGGCATGGCCGAGGGGCAGAGAGCAGGAGCTGTGTTTATTTTTCGCAAAGGGGCCTTGGCCCTGCACTTGCTGGGGCTGTTGATTTCCCTGCAGGCAGGTGCAGGCGTCGGTGGCACAGTGCCCTTGGGCTCGGGCAGTGCTCCGGGCAGCCAGCACCCCAGGAGCTGTCGCTGCACCCAGGATTTAAATGTTGAGACTATTAATACCCTCATATCCTCTTCCCTCTCCTGCTTTAATGGCATTTAGGCTATACTTAGCATTGCTAGAATTTCTGCTTGAGTGCATCTTGACACTTGCCACGACGCTGTTTACCTCCCATCACCAAAACATTCCTGCTGCTTGGTGCTGGCACAGCAGTATGGAAACTCATCCCCTATTGCCTCCCAAGCCACCCCAGGCCCCGCATCCCTCCAGCTGCAGGCAGTAGGGGACAGGCAGCTGTTGGCAGTGGGGGAGAGGTGGTTATCATTGTCACAGCCCCTCTCCTTTGACTCTTCTGGCAGGATGGGCCCTGTGGTGTGTTCAGGGAGCCTGACAGTTGGACTGCCCTGGTTTGAAGCCCTTAGCATGTCCAGAGCCATGTCCTGTGTCCAAGCAAGCTGCTGTTCAGCTGCCATGGAGCCCAGCACTGTCCCCTGTCTAGGCACCCATCTGAGGTCGTGCCAGGTCTGCAGGACCCCCACGTGCCCCTGGGCATGAGGGCCCTGCTGCAGCCCCACCGGCCTCTGCCTTGTTTTCCTCTCTGCTCGGGCACAGTAAAGCCAGAGGCAAAGCAGCTGCCCAAGCTCTAATGAAATGTACAAAAACCATTCTATAAGCAGGTGATTTTTATAAAGACTGATGCCAAATTGCAGGGCAAGGATGGTGAGGCGGTAGGGGGAGGTGGTGGGTGTTAGGGTTGTGAGGAGTGAGGCCACAGGCCAGAAAAATCAGGCTGTTTACCTATAAAAATCGACCTCATCAGGGTTTATTTCCCTGTGCCTTGGACACAGTGCTCTTCATTAGATTAAAGGGTGGGAGGAGGAGAGGAACGTGTTTGTCATCAAATTAGGTGGTGGGAAGAGGCCTGGCAGCAGGCAGAATCGACTTAGGAGACCAATTTGTGGTGCTCAATTCCCTTGATAAAGTGGGAATTTTCCTGCGAGGCGCCGCGCCTAGGGGTGCCTGGCTGTGCTGGGGTGGGCACTGCCCGCCGTGCCTGGCTGTGTCAGGAAGGCACTGCCTGGGGCACAGCCAGGCCGCCAGTGGAGAGGTGAGAAACTGCTTCAGCACCATTCCATGCCTTGGGACGAACTCCACAGCCAGGGACTGGCACCTTGGCTGCAGCTGCTCTCTGCAAAGGAGTCTTTGCTTGGGACAGTGAGGTGCTGGCATGGGCTGCCTGGAAAGGCAGTGAGTGCTTGGGTGCTCCTGGAAGCACTGAGTGCCAGGCTGGACGGGGCTCTGAGCAGCCTGGTCTGCTGCAGATGTCCCTGCTCCCTGCAGGGGCTGGGCCAGGGGGACATTTAAAGGTTCCTTCCCACCCAAACCATCCTGCAAGTCTGGCCAGGCTGCTGTCAGCACCTTCATGCCATGGATACCAGGAACGAGCGGCTCCCATGGGGCAGCCGAGGGCAGAGCCTGCCTGTGTGTGTGTGTACACGTGAGTGTGTGTGCTCACGTGTGTGTGTGTGTGTGTGTGTACACACGTGTACATGTGTGTGCAGCTCTGTGTGTGTATGTACACTTGAATGTGTGTACACGTGTGTGTATGTACACATATGTACATTTGTGTGAAGCTCTGTGTGTGTACACGTGAGTATGCACGTTTCTATATGTACATACGTGTGTGTGCACACGTGTATGTGCACATGTGCCCGTGTGTGTGATGTATCTGTGCCTGTGTGTGGGTATGTACACGTGTGTGTGTGTGTGGTGTACGTGTGTGCACACGTGTGCTGCCTGAGCTGTTCCTCGGGGTGGGGGTGTCCCTGAGTGCTGGCAGGATGGACACAGGTGACACCAAGGCAGGCAGGGGTGCAGTTAGCAGCTCTGTAGTGATGGGAAAGGATGGTGCTGCAGTCCCACAAGAGCTGTGTCCTTGGGCCAGGGCTAGCCCCGCTTCCAGGGAAGTCCCAGGAGCAGTGTTGCCTCCTGACCCAGCCGTCCTGGGGGGCTGTAGTTACCGTGGTTATTGGGGAGCTGCTGGCCAGAGCATGTGGTTCTGTGGGAGCTGGAGGTGACCAGGGCACAGGGCTGTGGACTTAGCCCTGCAGCACAGGCAATGCCCAGCTCTGGGACACACCTGGCTGGCACAGGTGCTGTGGGACATGCCCTGGTGCAGGCAGATATTGTGTGCTTGCATGGGGCTCTTGGGCACTGGCAGACACCATCCCTCCTTGGGGCAGTGCTGGGGGCTGCCCCTCAGCGCCAGGGGACACAGGACATTTCCACAGCACATTCATGGGCTGGGGCTGGCTTGAGGTTCCTGAAAGGTCCCTGTCATTGTGCGGGACACATCATAGGGCCACCCTTGCTGGGCAAGGTCTGGGGGCCAGCCTGGCCCCTCTGGGGTTGGAGGTCCACAGTGAGGTGTTGCCACAGCAATGCTGGAGCAACAGGCACAGGGCACGGCCCCGTGCCATGACCATATTTACCTTCCCAGAAACTGCTTCGTGCTCCAGCAATTTGCCTCAATTAGGCTCGTTACCGCGTCAGGAAGGCCGCAGTGACGCAGCGGCTGTAGGGCCGTTGGCTCCGCGGGGGCTGCCTGGGCCACTCCGGCACCATGGCTGTGAGCAGGGTAATCCCTGTCCCTCCCTATTCCTGTCCCCATCCCTGCTCTTGGGGGCCTGGATAGACCCTCAACCCTGTGCTCCCCTCCCCTCACCCGTTCCAGCACAGTCCTTGTGTCCTCACACCCCACGGTGCCGCTGTCCCACAGCCCTGAGCCCCAAAGCCCAGACCCTCTGTCCCCTGTCCCTGCTGCTCCCATTGCCGCTGCCAGCGCTGCACTGGCTCTTGGGCGCCGGGTCCTGCTCGGCCAGGGCAGACAGCAAGTTGTCGAGTAAACAGAGGAAAATTACTGTGTGCTGGGCTGTGCTTGCAGAGCCAAGCTCTGAACGGCCTGGGCCATTGCCGTGCCACGCCAGCCCCGCTGATGGCTCGCTGCGGTCTGGGACCCCAGACAGCTCGGCTCCTGATGGCTGCCGTGGGTGTCAGGGCCGTGGCCACGCGGTGCTGCTGATGCTGCGACAGGGGGGCATTTACCGAGGGGGCGGCCGCCCGTCCAATGTTCCCTGCGTGGGACAGCCGGGGTGCAGCTCCAGCTCTCACCCTGCTCAGCACATCCCCTGTACCTGGCTGTGCACGGGACTTGGACAGCCGGAGACCGTCACCCGCTCGGGGTCAGGCGGGGCGGAGTGGTGGGTGACGGGCAGTGCCCATGGCCCGGTCCGTGGGCGGTGGGGGTCACGGCGGGGCAGCTGTCCGTCCCACCGCCACCCCTCGGGCACGGTGAACCCAGCCGGGGAGCAGCACCGGCTTAATCCCCACACACCAGGCGATTGTGGTGCCCAAAGCTGCGGCATCCGGGCTTAGCGCTCATGTGCGCAGCACAAGCCTCTTAGGCCAGCGCTGTGAGCCCGCCCCAGCCAGCCCGGCGTGCGGCACAGGGGTCCTGCAGCCCCGCACCCACTGCTGCTCACGGAGCTCAGCGCTGCCGGCCGCTGATGCCCGGCCACGGCCTGGGCCAGCTACCGGGAGAGCGGGGGTGCCGCGGGCAGAGCCAAATGATTTAATTAAGGGCTCCTGGCAGCGAGAGGACAGAGCCGATTAGCGGCCAAAGGAAAGCGCGTGCTGGGGGAGCTGGAGCCCCGGCCGACAGAGCTGCAGCGGCTGCTGCTGCTGCATGTCTGCCCCACTCACTTGTACAGCAACTGTGGGACTGCAGGGCTGCTGGGCTGGGGTCAGGCAGTGGGGCAGTCACTGGGGCTGTCTTCTGGTGCAGCTCATCCCTGCCAGGTGACTCAGCTCCCCATCCATGACTGTGGCTTGAGAGTATCTGTGGGGTGCTTGGGAGCATATTCCACACGTGTCCAATGTCCCCAGTGTCCCCAGTCCCTGCAGCCCACAGAGAGGCACACACGGAGCTGGCCCTGCAGCCCAGCACGGGCCCACACCTATTTACAGATATGACAGATAAATTACAGCACTGCGCACAGGGACTCGAAGGTGCACGAGGGCAGCACCACAGGACAAACTCCCACCCCCACAGATCCCCCTGGCCCCACAGTTCCCCCTTCCAGAGGTCCAGGCCCCACTTGCCTGCCTCGCTGTGTCCACTGTCCATGTGCCCAGCGCAGCAGCCTCAGCAGGGTGGCAGGTCCCAGTGCCCACCAGCACCTGGGGAGGACGTGGCAGGGAACGGCGGCATCCCAGCGGCTCAGCACAGCCCTCCCACCTGGCTGCGGGCTCAGAAGTGGCTCTCGGCCGTGGTCTCAGGAAACTCATAGCAGTGGTGATGGCCTCCCAGGGCGAGGTGCTCGGCCGTGCTGCGCCCGCTCCTCTCCAGGCGTTGGGAGCCGGGGTGGGGGCCCAGGCTGCGCCCCAGCCCGTTGGCACAGCCGCCCACCAGCTGGTGCTTCTCGCAGGTGCTGCCAGCGCCGTTGCGGGCACTGGGTCCATGGCTGTAGGTGTGCTTGTACTCCTCAGCCAGGTCCTTCCCCAGCTTCCAGCGCTGCCACCGCTTCAGCAGCTCTGCCTGCACCTGTGGGCAGCAGCTGTCAGTGTGACCCCGTGCCCCTGCTGCCCGTGTCCCCGCTGTCCTGCTCACCTCCTTGTTGACAAAGCAGTAGAGAATGGCTACCAGCATCCCCTGGGAAGAGGGAGGAGAGGCGTGAAGCACTAGACTAACCAAACCTCAGTCTAGTCAATCCTGAGACTGAAATCTTCCAATGGAGGGGTGGTCCTGTGAGGGCTGGGCTCACCTGGAAGGAGCTCAGGAAGAGGTCGAAGAAGAGCTTGACGTAACGCAGCGTGCCCTGGGCGTGCTCGTCTGTGATGAAGGCAAAGACCACCTCGTGGATGCCCAGCAGGGGGATCAGCGTCAGTGTGGACTTGGCCAGCCTGTGGGATGGGGTCACTGGGTGGACACACGTGCGTGTCCACCATGGGAACATGGAGTGAACCATGCCCAGCACCCACCTGAACTTGTAGTCAGTGTAGCGCATCTGGTGTGCACGGAGCTTGGAAACAAGGATCTGAATGATGCGGATGAAGATGAAGAAGTTGATCTGCAATGGAATGGAGTGAGCCATCAGGGGCACAGGCAGAGCCAGAGGCAGGGACAGACAGGACACCTCTGTTCCCCTGCCCTCGGCAGCCCCTCTCAGCCATCTTGGGGCCTGTGAGAGACGTCGGGCAAGGGGCTGCCGCAGGCTCACCAGGATGGCCAGGAACACGGGGAAGCGAAGGATCCACCAGAAGCCCATGTTGTTGTTTGTGGACCAGCACCTGCAGAATGGAGGGATGGGGACTGCCAGGAAGCCCCTTGACCAGGCAGCTGCTGGAGTCTGGCATGGCATTGGCAGCCTGAACCAAGCAAGCACTAAGGCCCAGCAGCACCCTGCTCCTTGCATGGAGAACGGTGTAGAGTCTCTCCAGGGCCATCACAACAGTCCCACATGCACCTACCTGTGCCCTGTGCCCCCCTCCAGCCAGCAGCTGGAGCTGGTACTCACTGTATGTTTTCGTAGAGGAATTTCACAATGACCCAGGGAATGAGGAACAGCATGGGTGCCCCTGAGGAGAGGTGAGCAGAGCACAGGTGAGGCACAGCAGGGGACAGGGTCAGGGGGGCAGCTCACCCACACTCACCCCAGCCGATGCACAGGTAGAGGGTGAAGTAGCTCCTCTCAGAGAAGACAGCCACCACCAGCAGGTTATGCAGGTAGATGCCTTCCACCAGCAGCCAGCAGTAGTTGGCCACGATTCCGTACTGCATGAAGACCGTGGCTGCCCGACAGCCTGCAGCTGCCTGTGGGCAGGGGTCAGAGCTGCAGCACTGCCTGTGTGTGTGTGTGCCTGTGCCCCCAGCCACGCCAGTGCCATCAGACTCCAGTGTCACCAGTGCCCCAGACCAGCCAGCCACCAGCCCTGCCTGTCCTTGTCCCTGTCCCTGCCAGTGCTGCACTGACCTCGTCGCTCAGCCACACTTGTACGTTGTAGCCGTCAATCTTGTCACTATAGTGGGTTTTGAGCAGGGCGTCGATGACCAGCACAGAGACGCCCTTCAGGATGAAGGAGGCGAAGAGGTTCATGTGGATGTAGTTCCTCATGCAGTGCAGCTTGCTGCGAATTTGGGGACCATTATCAATGCCCGTGCATGGACCCCTGGCCTCCGCCTGCCCACCCTGTGGACAGCCATGCCCAAACTCCCACCTGAAGCCCAGCAGCAGGGCCAGGGCAAGCAGCAGTGCACACAGGGACACAGAGTAGCCCACAGTGTACATCACCTTGAAGCTGCCATAGGTCTTGGCAAATTTTTCCTGGAAGAAGAGGGAGCAAGTGAGGGCAGGGGCAGGCAGGGGGGCAGGCAGGGACTCCCATACCCCTGCTGCCCAGGTCTGCCCACCTGCGCCTTTAGGTCCTCGTCATCCTGCTCACACTGTGTGGCATCGCGCAGGGACTGTCCCTGTGGCCCTGTCACCCACTGTCCGTCTGGCCCACAGGTCTTGAAGACGTGTCTGTGCTTCACTGTGAGGGGAGGGGATGGTGGGGTGGGATGCCAGATGTGACCTGGACACAGGCTGTGACACACTGCACAGGTGTCCCCAGCACAGGTGCACCCGTGTACGAACACACTGCACAGGTGCACATGCACACATGCCTCCCCACTGTTACCTTTGTGGTACCAGGGCAGGAACCAGGGGCAGGGCACACTGGCTGTGCTGTTGGGCATCGTGTCGGGCCAGCACGAGAACTTGTCGAAGGTGCGGTTACAGACCAGCTCTGCAGAAGGACAGGAGCTGGTGGCGCTTTGGCCTCACCCTCTCTCGGGGTGCCAGGACCTCCACTGCTCGGGTTCTCATCATGCTGGGACCCCCTGTTGGCTCGTGTGCCCCCTCCCCATGTCAATAGGACTCTGTCCTCACCCCATCCCACCAGAACCCCCCAGACCCCCCACAGGCACTGACCTGTGGGCGCAGGCAGGCGGCTCATGTTGCGCTGGCACTCTTCGCTGTACTCCTTCCATCTCTCAACGACATTATCCGTGATCTGGGCAGAGGGACCCTGCGGGCACCAGGGAGCATCACCCATCACAGGTGTCCTGCTGCAGGGACAGGCTGTGCCAGGCAGTGACTCCAGCTTGGGGACAGCCACAGGCGAGTGCAGGCTAACATGCCATGCCATTCTGTGCCATGCCATGCCATGCCATGCCATGCCATGTCTTGTGAATGGCAGGGGAGGCAGAAAGGGGCATCAGCTGCTGTGCCACATGCCATGGTGAGGGGATGCAGTGGGATGGGGTGGATTGGTGGCAGTCCTGCGGGGGTAGAGGGCTGAGCAAGGGGCAGAGCATCCTCATGTGTGACAGCCCATCCTTACCTGGCAGCAGAGCAGCAGCACCAGGAGGGTGAGGACATGTGGCTGGGACATCCCTCCTCTGGACCACATGCATGAGACACAGCGCAGGGCACACGGCTTCCTACTGGCCCTCAGAAGCTTCTCCACCCTGGTGGTGATGGCCCTGGCATGTGGGCAACCCTGTGCAAGACGCCTGGTCACGGGCACTCCTGGGACAGAGCTGGGACATGGGGCTGGGGCCAGGTGGGGTTGGAGGCGACCACTCTGGCACAGAGCCAGTCCCAGTCATGGTGCCTCACTCCTGTCCCCAACCTCACCCGACCCTGCTTGGTGTTCACATTCATTGTTGGCTCATTTTTGCACCAAGCACCTGTATTATCCTCCCAGGATGGCACTGGGACAGTGACTATGCAGGTTCTTTGCCCACCAAGCCAATTTCAGCCCCTGTGTGGCTGGAGTGCAGTGGCAGTGCTGCCTCCAGATCCTCACAGAAAACCTGGGTTGGTGCCACCCCACGCTGCTGCTGGGACCCAGCTGTGCATCCTTGCTAAGTCCTGAGAATGCAGGAGCCCCATGGTAGAAGGGACCCCCTCCTCACACCTGAGCACTCTCTCAGGCAGAGAGGCTGGCACCTGGGCTCTCCTGCCTGGGCTGCTAACACCCAGCCATGGTCTGGCAGCAGTACCCACTGTGATGGCAGTGGCCAGGGAGCCATGGAGAGCACGGGGGCGAGCAGGGATGGGGACACTGGCCATTAACCGTCAGGGATCCTGGCTTGTGAGGCTGCTGTGGCTCCAGGACACGCTCAGCTGGGCTCTGCCCCTGTGGGTCCATCACTCCCAGCTCCAGCCAGTGACGTGGGGCCTTGCCTGACATGGGGTCCGGGTGCTCCACAGACCATGGCTCACGAGGTGCCATAATTCCCTCCATCCCCCTAAGCCGGTTATGGGGCTCCTGAGTAGGATTTCAGCTCTTCCCACAAGGGCCCATTATGGCAGCAGCCCCATGGCACAGCCCAGCTGTGTGGGTGAGGGCAGCCGAGCTGGGGGGAATGGGATGGGATGGACATCAGTGCCAGTGCCACCACAGGCACTGTGGCATCACCCCCAGCCCCTGGGCACCAGCCAGAGTGTCGTGCTCCCCGACCAGTTCTGCTCCCAGGGCTCGCTGCTCTGCTTGTGCCTATTTTTATCCCTGGGAAAGTCGTGTTTCCTCCATCCGTGCAGACCCACTTGCCATGCCGCAAGTGGCTGCCGGAGGAGCTCATTAATCAGCGCATGGGGCTCCAGATGCAGCTCGGGGAGCAGAACCTGCAATGGCCTTATTTAGCCAGTCCCAGGACAGAGGGAAGCGTCTCCTGGGACAGTTCTCACTGGGTGGGCTCTGTGAATAGAGACCTTTGCTGGGTGCCCACTAGCCACCTGACCATTCCAGAATTCCTAGTTTTGGCATCACCCCACCCCAGCAACACTGTTGACCCACCAGTATCCCTGTCCTAGTCCCTCTCCCATCCCACCTCAGGATCTCTGTCTCTTTCCTCCCACACCCCCATGCCAGCATCCCTGTCTTTGTCCCCTGCTAGCCTGATCCCACCATCCCTGTGCCCCCCTCCAGCCCCACATCATCCCTACCCGTCCCGTGCTGCTGCCACCTATGTCCCAGTCCCACGGGAAGATCCCAGTGCCTGTCCCTGGCCAAGCATCAGTCCCTGCCCTGTTTGGGAATGCTCCTCCAGCTCCATGGGTCACAGTGACTTGCTGTCAGCCCCTCTGCGCAGCCGGGGAGCAACTTTGGGGCAGAGGTGTCGCTATTTTTAGTTGCTGCAGTGGGATTTAGCAGCGGGGAGGCCTCTGCCCTGGACTCCCCCCATCTGGCAGCCGCTCCCCGGGCCTGGCCCCACTGTGGCCAAGCCGGGCAGACTGCACTGGGTGAGGGGTCCTGGCACGGGGGCCAGTCATGCTCCTCACCCCGGCACGGGTCTTCCCCCTCACCCTGCCCAGGCCCTTTGTCCCAGCTGCCTGAGGCGCTGCACAACCACAGCACCGTGCTGGATCCCCGTTACCCACAGGACCAGGGGTCCCTGCAGACTGGGGGCTGTTTCCTGCAGACGTGGGCATGCAGAAGCAGCCGTGGACCAGCTCTCTCTGGTCTGGTGCCAATGGGCAGTGGCAGAGAGGGAGCAGTGGCTCTGTGTGGCGGAACAGCAAGGTCAGGGTGGCCAGGATCACTGGCAGCACAAGCACTTCCCCAGAGCTGGCACTGCCCAGCAACAGTGCCTGCAGTGCCTTGGGTAGCAGCTCTACCAGCTGGATGTGCCCTGGCTGCCAGAGGCAGCACTGCACAGGGGACCTGCCCCCACATCCTCACCACCTCCTCTCACTCTGCTATGCCCAACGGGCTTCCAGTGCCACATTCCCTGCCCTGGCACCTCATACTTAGCTGGGGCCAGGCTTTGGGGGATCCTCCACCACACCAAGTCATAAGCAGTGGGTGGAGGGTGCCAGGTCTGGTGCCTCTGAGGGGCTGCAGTGCGTGGCAGCGGAGGCACAGGGGACTTTTGCCCTGTGCTGGTGTTGGACAATGCAGTATGTTCCTGTGTCAGGGTTCTGTGGCTGCTGGCCTTCATGGAGCCCAGGCTGCAGACACCCAGAATGGCTCCACTTGGAGCCAGAGACATGAAGAAGGGACCTTGTTCCAGGAGAGCAGGAACAAGAAGCCAGCACTGGGATGGCCATTTTCCCACCCCAGCCTCTCTGGCTTTGCTGCTATTGCACATGTGAGAGAATGAGCTCCACATCTGGGATCACTGCAGCCAGCAGTCATGTGGATCAGTGGCTTGGTAAAGTCCCCATAGGACACTCATGGGTATCTGCAACGTGACCTGGGAGCACCTTGTCACAGCCGCAGCCCTGCACAAGTGCTGTGAGGCTGGCGCAGCCCCCAGAGCCAGGTCCCACTGGGCTCTGCCTCCCCGGTGGGGTGGGCACTGTGAGCACAGCCCTGCACCCAGCACAGCCCCGTTGGCTTGGGGGCAGCTGTGGGGGCTGTGAGGGCTCTGGACACAGGGATTAGCCCCCGGTGCTAATGCGGTTCTTTCCACGGCTGGCTTGGCTTTGAGCTTGGAGCTACATGCCAGCACGGCAGGGGCTTTGGCACTTGGCAGGGGAGGGGATGGTGCTGGGCCAGAGCTGATGCGGTGCCAATGCCAGCCTGGCCCTGCAGATGCTGCTCCACTTTCCACCACGGCAAGGCTAGAGGAGATGGCCATGGCAGGGAGGCCCAGGAGGTCTGTCCTGCACCGTCCCTGCCCTGTGTCCGTGCTGGAAGCTCGGGAATGTTTCCTACTCCCCTTCTCCATTCTTTCCTTGAGAACTAAGTACGAGGAACTTTGGCAGCAGAGGAGCAGCTGAGCAGCCCCAACAGTCCTTGTGCTGCAAGGCTGTGACTTGTTCGCACAGGGCTACACGATTGTGGAAGCCCTGAGCGGGGGCACATGGAGAGAGCCAACGTCACCAGGCACTGGTGATGTCGGATTCTGTGTCACTTTGGACCAAGAAAACCCGAACCAGCCCCGACAGTGTTTTCGTCAACAGCAGCATATGATGCAAAGGGGACAAATGCTCTTTGCATCACATCCACTAATACCTGGTCACCAAAAGGCATGGTCAGGGGGCACCTGCACAGCTGCCCTGTACCAAAGAGGGACCATGTTACAGCCTGGCAGCAGCCAAATTACCTTGCTGCCCAGCTGGCTCTGGCATGGGGATGCTGAGCCACACAGCACCTCATCCCTGGCTCAAGGAAAGGGGTGTTTTTGTTCATCACGTTGCATGAAAACCTATGAAACACAGAAGGAAGGCACAAGAGGCACGGTGTGACACATGTCACAGGGGAGGCGCAGGGCTGGGAAAAGCCTAGGAAAAGGTCAGTGCAGACAGGCTAGTGCGCACACTCCCCTGCACTGGGAGCTCCACACCCGCCTACCCGAGCAGCAGATCTGCAGCCCCAGGTACAGCCAGACAGCAGCCCCAGCAAGGCAGGGGTGCTGCGGGGGGCACACACACCCAGCCCTCCACTGGCACCTGTTGTGCACAGGCATTATCCTTGTTTATCTACCCCAGCATTGGACATGAGGATTCAGGACAAAGCAGGATGCAGTGGTGGGGCACAGGGGGATGGAGCTGAGCAGCCATCCCATCTCCCCCGTGTCCAGCTTCCCCTGCCCCTGCCCTTACACAGCGAGGTGCATCATGCTGTGCTTGGTGGCTGGTTTTAGCCCTGTGCTGCTGATCAGGGTTTGTGGTCACATTTTTTCATTAACTATTTTTAATCCACATTTTGCCTATTCTCCCTTCAGCCTTTTCTTTTTTCCCCTCTCTAGGCAACAGAACATAAAAAAAAAAAAAATGCACCACAGTGTGCAGAAAGGAGCAGGATTGGTGGGAAGCCACAGGAGCTGGCAGCTGGGGCAGCACTAACACGCTGACGAGGGGTCCTGCAGGCCCTAAATTTTCCTGCTGATGCACAGACAAAATCTCAGGGGCAATCACTGAATTTGGTGTGGGTCAGGACACTCGTGGCAGGCGCTGCATGGGGCAGGGTGCTGTGCCGCGGGATGCACGGCAAGGGCTGAGCAGAGCAGATGCTCCGTCCTCAGGCCATTCTATGCGAGGGGAGCAGGCTGACCCCGCGGTCCCTGCCTCGCTCACCACCCCGAGGGAAGTGCAGTGCCGGGCACAGGGGACCTACAGCAGCTTTGGAGATGCACTTGCAACCAGGAGGACGGCAAGGTCACATACCCGACATGTCCTGGTTAAACAAAGCCATTTACCAACACCGTGTTGACACAGCAGAGCTCGGGACAGAGTCACAAAGGGCACTCGCACCAGGCCCCCGTAATACCCAGAGAGCTTGGGAAGAGCTGGGAACTGGCAAAGTGTCCCCTGCTTCGGCCCCTCGGCAGGACACCGATGGGCACTGCTGTGCCCACAGCAGGGAGACGACGCGCGTCCCGCCTCGACTAAGGGCTGCCCCGGGAATTGCTCCCAACGCCACGGAGTTCAGCTGGAATCACAGCCCAGGGGTGCTGCGGGTCTGACGGCAGCGCCCCTGCCCAGGGACGCCAGCGGCAGCGGTGGGACGGAAAGTGGGCACAGCCCTGCCGGGACCCCAGAACACCCGTCTCTCAAGGGCTCGCTTTCCCCGGGGCCGGCGCCAGCATCGGGAGCTGCTGCTCTGGGGTCCCGGGGTTGCGCAGTCGTCATTCGAATCCTCATCCCCGCGACGGAACGCGCGACATCCCGAGCTCCGAGACGGCGGCTATAGGCGCTCCCTGCCCTCCTCCCTCCCTTCCTCGTACCTGTCGGGGCTGGACTCGCGGCGGCTCCCGAACGCATCTCGGGACCGGCGGGGACCGGGTCCGGCGCGCTCGGCGAAAACTTTAGCGGAGCCGCGACGGCAGCGGCTGTGGCGATTCAGGGGGAGGGACCGGCTCGGGGGGAGGGACCACGGGCGCGGAGCCGCGTCCCGCCGCCCCGCTCCTCCCGCCGGCACGAGGGGGGCGCAGCTCGGTGCCCCGGCCCCGCCCGAGTGCTTGGCGCTGCCCCCTGCATCACCGGCGGTCGCTCCCGGGAGCTGCGGGAGCGCCGCCACTTGCGGCGGGGCACCGGCTCGGCTCGGCGGCGGCGGGGACGGGCGGAACGGCGGGGGCAGCTGGACCGCGCCAGCCCCGAGGGAGCGGGCCGGGGGTCCGTTCCCCGGGAGGTTTCCCTGGTCCCAGCGCGCCGCCCGCTCTGCCGTGCCCCGAGCTGGCGGCCCCGCCGCGGGAGCGGCTCGGACTCCCAGGGACCCGGACGGATCTCGGCCGCGCCGCCACGAACCGCCTCGACACCCGCGCCCCGGCCGCCGCCGGCGGTGACGGGTCAGGGTTTGCCGCCGCTGTCCCGCTACAGGTAAACACAGCCTAGAAAGAGCGACGCACCGGGACCGGCTGGCTGGGCCTGAAGAGGGATCCAGGGGAGCCTCCCTGCACGAGCACAGTTACCTTGGGCCATGCAGGACGTGTTGGCCGTGCTGACCGTGCTGGCAGCCCAGCACCGGGTCCCCCAGAGCTGCCTTCTCGGGGTCCCACTCTACGCGGCTGCCGCTGGCTGGAAGCCCCCGTGGGTGTGGGAAGAGGAGCCCGGGCACACGCTGGGGCCTGCGGGTGTCTTGCCATTGCAAGGATTGGACCCACGGCTGCCCCCCTGGAGATGGTCCCGGCACCATTCCAGGCCAGGATGGGGACTTTGGGGAGGACTGGCAGCCCCCAGACCTGCCTGGTGGTGGCAGAGATGTGCCCTGCAGCCAGCACAGACATGGCACAGGCTGCTGCCAGCCCCATGTTCTCCGATGCTCAGGAGATAAGTAGTGCCCTGGCACTGCAGCTGTGGGCGCTGTGCTCGCGGCTGTCTCTGGCACATTCTGTCCTGCCAGTGCGGCTGCTGCAGTGCAGCTGCCACCAGGCATGTGATGAGAGGGGAGTGCACACCGGGAGCACACGGCTGGCACAGCTGGTGGGACCACAGCCCAGCTGGAATGTCCCTGCCACTGGCCATCGTGGGACTGAGCAGGGCTCTGTGCTGCTGGGGGGCCATGGGGCTCCATCGCTTTCCTGCTCCGTGCTGGCCCTTTGATGACACAGAGCAGCCCGTCAGCCCCAGGAGCAGTGCTGCAGGACGTGGGAGATGAGGAAGCACAGCCTGGCAGGGCAGCCCAGCTCCCTGAGCGCTCACCTGCCCATGGCCTCTGCTGCGGCTGGGCATAAGCCCAGAGTGGTGATGCCAGTCAGCATCATTAGGCCTTGTTAAGGTGACGAGCTTTCACTGCTCTGCTGTGCCAGTCTGCCTCTGTTGAGTCTGCCGGAGCCCAATTAGTGTCACATCCAGGAGGCAGCTCCCGCAGAGGTGGGGGCGCCCTTGGCACAGCCCTACCCTGGAGCTGCTGTCCAGCTGAGACCGGGCACAGCTTGGCACAGGCCTGGCTGTGGAGCCTGCCCACTGCTCCTTCTGCACACGGGGCCAGGGCTGCTGGCCACAGAGCAGGGTGAAGACCCCCTACTTGGCAAGGTGCCAGGGGCCAAGCCTTGCTACCCTCTCTCAGCTCTGGGGAGCTCAGCTCTCAGCCGATGCCCTCAGCCATGAAAAGGGGATGCAGCATCTCTCCCCTCCTAATAGGACAGCAGGCCCTGTGCCACCTTCACTCTTTATTATACATCAAGGTCTCAGATATTCCAGTTCTTAGATTCCTTGGGGTCAGCACACACAGGTGCACATAGTGGAGGGGCTGGTGCTCACAGCCCCCACACACTGGGCAGTGTGGGGTGAGGGGCTGTGAGGGGTGGGGGTCTGCCCAGCCCCAAGGTGAGTGAGGCTGCAGAGTGGTGGTGGAGGATGCCCCCACAGAGGCCGGATCCAGTGTGGAGTAGGTGCACTGTGGTAAGCGAGTACTGGGTCCCCAAGCAGGCATTACCAGGCCCTGCCAGAGCAAGGCCATGTTCCCCACCATCATTGGTATGAGGCACAATCCCTGAAGAGCCCAGCAGCCAGCGGTGCTGAGGAGTTTTGGCCAAGCAGAAGCTGAGAGTGGGAGGCCAGGAGCAGGGCAGGAGGTCCAAGCTGTGCTGGGGTTAGGGAGGAGCACAGGAGCTAAAGGCAGAGTGAGGACAGGGTCTCACACACACTGCCCCAAGCCCCAGTCCCACAGCTGCAGGGTCAGCAGCACCCCCAGCCCCATGGGCTCTGTGATGAGGTACAGAGCCAGGCATCTGATCTCCCTACTCCCTGAGACAGCACAGTCCTGCTTCTGGAGCACATCAGGGACAAGGCTGAGGGGGGGCAAGGACAGAACTCAGTGCCAGTAGAGAAGTGGGAAGATAGAAATCCCCCCCACAAAAGAAACCCAGAAGCAGTAATGAAGAGGTGGAGATGCTGAGAATGGGGGTAAGAAGTGAGTTTGCAAAAGAGGGGTTGGCCACAGGTGCTGGCAAGGCACAGGAGTAGAGTTGAGAAGAGGGGGAATGGTACTGGCCCCAAAGAGCAGAGAGGGGTTCTGGGATCTTGGAGGTGACCCACACGCTCACCCCCCTGGGGCAAGGCAGGGTCCAGTCCATTGGACTCAGCTGGTCACTTTGATCCCGAAATATTTGCGCAGCTGCTCCAGGAAGAGGAAGGTGAGAACAGTCTGAGGAACGAGCCGGACAGCAGCAGGAACGAAGCCCTGGAAGGGGACAGCAAGAAGGGGAAGAGTCAGGGTGTGCCTGCCACTGACTGTCCCAGCAGCCCAACCCTGGAAGAAGCACAAGTGGGCAGGCGTGGGTCAGCACTGGCCGGGCTGTGGAGCAGGCGCTGTCACACCATGGCCAGCACGGTGCACACAGGGCCCAGCACCATGTGCTAACCCCTCTGGCACTTGCACTGCTGTGGGGTCAACAGGGCACAGCTGTGGTGCCTGGGCCCAGGCTGAGTCCCATTGAGGCCAGGGCTTACAATACCTCGGGGCCAGGCCTGGGCCGGGCAGACAAAGGCCTGATGCAGGAAGCAGCTGGGCTGCCACAGCAGAACCTGGGAAGTCCCCTGCCCCAGGACTGTTCTGGACCACAACCTCTGCTCCCAGCTCGGCCCAGCCTGGCCCACCCCATGCACCCCCAGCCAGGTACCTTGTAAAAGGCAAGCGGGCCGAGCTTGGCAGTTTCCATGGCACAGTGGACGACACCCTGGAGTGAGAGGGTGAGAGATGAGGTGGGAGGGGCTGAGAGGCAGAAGGTGGCACATAGAGAGGGAGCAGCAAGGTGGGTAAGGTGGTACTCACCTGGTACTCTCCGTGGGAGTTCATGAGGCGGGTCTTGAGCACATCCAGGGGCTGGCACAGGAATGTGGCACATATGCCCTGCAGAGAATCAGCCAAGTCAGGAGACCTCCGTGCCAGCAACTGGAGAGACTCAGAGCCACGCTGGGACCCAACCTCAGGCCAGGAGCCTCCTGGAGCCGCTGTGCCCTGCCCTGCTCTGCCGAGCCCAGAGTGGCAGCTCTGGCAGCCCCAGTCTTACACTCTGAACCTGGCTGCAGGCAAACCCAGACCCAGCTCTGCCCTCTGGACCCCAGCCCTACTCACAGCGACAAAGCTGGACAGGAAATGAGCAAAGACATTGTCTGACAGCAATCCAGTTGCGAGAACCAGCTGCTTGGCCTGGTCATAACAGGAAAGCTGCAGAGACATGGTGAATCAGTGACATGTTCCCCCTTCCTTGCCACACCAGGGACCATCCTAGTCCCTATCCAAGTCACCTAGCGCCCAGCAGAGCTGTCCTACCTGCCCAACAGTAACAAGGGCCCCACGGGATGATGCCACCGATGCTCCTGAGAAGAGTTTCTTCACGCCCTCTGCGGACAAACAGATTTGGATCAGCACAGTTCTCTGCCATCACTCACACTCCATTACCCCGGGAGCCTCCTTCCATGCCCAGCCTGTATCCCCAACTCCTCACACAGCCCTGCTTGAAGCACACCACAGCAAATAGGCTGAAGGAGTAGGGAGCTCCAAACAGCATGACCTCCTCCCTGCCTCTGCTCATTCTCTGTTCCACCTGCTCCACCCTCCTGTGCTTTTTGCAGCTCCCAGCAGGTCACCCTTTCCCACCAAGCATGTATAGGCTGCCAGGCCTTGACAGACTTTGCCCAGCCCCTGCCCCAGCCAGACGATGTGCAGATGCCAGACCCTGCGCTCCCGTGGACTCCCCCAGCTCCAAGGGCATCCCCCGGCCCCTCTCCCTTCCCCGGCTGAGTGAACTTCCAGGGTAAGCCCTGACCCGGCACCTGCTAGGACACCGGAGCAGGCTCACCCACACGGCTGGCACAGCCTCACCTTCCCGGAGGACACGGTACATGCCATCCAGGGCATGGGCATAACTGGAAGGAGCGAGAGGGGAAGGGGTCAGGGCCCGAGGCTCCCCAGCCCGGCGGCAGCCCCGCCGCTCCCGCCGGCACCGGCGGCTCCCGGGGCGCGGCCCCGGCCCAGACCCCTCCGCCGCCGGTGCGGTGCTGCCCCCCCGCGGCCACGCCGACCCCGGCCCCGGGAGCGCCGGTCCCCTCGAGCGGCTCCGCGCCGTCCCAAGGAACGGCCGCTCCCGCCTCCCCGCCCTGCCCCACACTCACTTGCGCCGCTGAGACGGCGGCTGCTTCATGTCGTTCTGCATCCTAGAAGGCAGAGCACGGCAGGTGAGGGGGGAGCCGGTGCCCCACTGCCCCTGCAGCACCGGGGGCCCCAGCACAGGGCAGTGGAGTTGTGTTGCCCGTTTACAAAAGGGCCAAGAAAGTCGCCTTCCGTCCCACTCCCCCTGAGGGTCACACACGGCTGGGTGCTGTCACCGAAAGGCAGAACAGCTCTGCCCATCCTGGGCACAGAGCTCCTGGCTCACTTACCGCGGGGCAGGCTGGCCAGGAGCACCCCGGCACCACCCACCACCCCAAATGCCATCATGCACAGGTCAAAAGCCCTGGTCGTGCAGACAGAACTGACCTGACGTTCACCATGTCCGCCGGGGTCCCCACAAACCCGCCAACTAAACCTGTGGCCAAAGAAGTGTTGGGTCAGGGGCTTATCCACCCTGAGGGAGACAGAGCCAAGGACCCCACTGCCTGGCTCACCTCCTGTTGCACCCAAGAGCACTTTCTGGTAGAAGGGGGGAGGCCCCTGGCCTCCCTGGCCCAGGTGTTTCTTCGCGCTCTCATAGATGCCAAAGCGGGTCAAGGAATATGTCATCTGGATGAGGGGGAAATGAGCGACTGCATCCCCGGCACAGGGCTGCTCCTCAGCTGCAGCACGTGCTGCAGAGCTCCACACACTCACCTGCCGGCACAGTGAGGCGCTGAGCCCGTTGTAGAGAGCCAGGAAGCCGTCGGTGCGGATCACGTGCATCGCCATCCCCATCATCCTCATCTTCACCTCCTGCTGTGTCTGCAGGTGGACCTGGGGCAGAGGGCAGCAGCGTCAGCCCAGCGCCGGGCTGGGAAGGGACAGAAGTGCACTGAACAGGTGTGAATTGAGCACGTGTCAGGTTAACAGCACTTGCCCAGGAGCCAACAGCAACAGCTCTGGACACTCCACACCAGACTGGCCCAGCCTGGCACCAGAGGGGTGGAGGCAGTGAAGGAAAGAGGAGTGCCCAGGCACTTGCCTGCAGCACCTCCCAGGCCCTGCCCTCAACAGGCAGCCCCAAGGTGAAGGGTGGCACCTGCTCTTCCGGGCCACCTCAGGGTGGAAGGTGTATGTGTATGTCTGTGCATCCAGCAGGACGTGAGTGAGCAAGTGCCCGGTGTGGGTTTGCTCAAAGGAACAGCAGCTGGGCTGCTGAAATCATGGCCATGCAATACAGTAGGCCTGCAGAGCCACTTCTCCTCCTCCCCAGTGCAGGAATCACATAGGCAGGAAGAGAACCCCACAGCTGGCCGGGCGCTCCCCTTCATGCCTGTAGCAGCCTGCTTCTCACCATCACCAGGGGCAACAGACATGGAAGCTGGCTGGGAAGGGAAGCCATGTGGGCTGGTGCTGGAGCACACTCTGAGCACTGTGGGGACCACATGTGGGTCAAAGGGCCCAGGAGATAAGGAGAGCAAAGGGCTGCTGTCAGGAGATCAGCTGCTGTCAGGAGATCAGGCCCAGCTCCCACTGCAGAAGCTGTGACACAGCGGGGTCATGGGACACACTGCAGGATGCTGGGAACAGCCACTGTCTCCCACATGGGGCAGCAGCAGGGGTGCAGGGGCCTGCTTGCAATCCCCACAGGTGCATTTTGGACGTCAAGGACTAGAGCTTGTGGCTGTTCACAGCCTGGGGCAGATGAAGGACAGGCAGAGCCTGCAGGATACAGTCCACTGCCTGCAGTCCCAAGTCTGCAGGAAGCGCAGGCAGGCAGGCATGGGACGGGCCAGGCCAGCCAGGCTGTGGTCACTGCTGGTCGCTGCAGGGCCAGCAGCCCGTGGGCAGCCAGCGGCTGCACAGAGTTGGTCTAAGGGCACAAGCACTCTGCAGGTGGGCTGGCCAGAGCCTCTCACTGAGGCCGAAGTCCAGAGGTGCAGTGGAAGTGCCCTTTGTCCCCTGTCCTGCCAGAACCTAAGGCCCATTGTGCTTGCCCAGGCTTGGCACCTGCCTCTGCTGTGGGGGAACTCGTGGCCAAAGACAGATCTGTATTCAATAATCAGGCGTGAACCCTCTGGCAAAAACAGCTGGCTAGGCTGTGCTGCTCACAACTGCAGGAATGCAGGGGCTGCACATCCACACAGGACAGCATGGGGATGCAGCCCAAACGTCACAGCCATCACACTGGCTCAGAGACAGACTTAGAGGCGGGTGCCAGACTAATTCCCTTTCTTAGCACCTTGCCAGGGCACCCCACACAAGCTCCCACGGGCTGGCAGCCACCTCCACTGGGCAGACAGGTCCAGCTGGACAAGGCAACAGGCTGAGCACTGGGGAGGTGGCACTGCCCTGCCAGGGCTGGCTCCTCTCCTGGGCCTGTGCCTGGAACATCTTCCTCTCCCTCCATGCTGTGGGGTGGGAAGGGGCTGTCTGTCCCAGCCTCACCCACAGGCATGGCCCTGGAAAGGGCAGGCCCTGTCCTGGGCTGCCTTTCCCTCCCCCTCCGCAGCTTGCTCTGCTGCCAGGCTTGTTGCCACTTGGCCGGTGCACAAGGCTCTGGGCAGCGCTGGCATTTGCCCCATCCGTGGGTGCTGGCAGCACAGGCTGCGCGCGGCGCCCTTTGTGCAGGAGCAGGCATGCCAGGTCATCCGCGGCGCCTAGGTGACATCTTGGCCGGAGGGCTCAGAGCCCAGTGGGCCAGTGGCCAGCACTGCCGGCCCCAGAGTCACTGCCATATCCAGGCAGGGCTGGCCAAGGCACCCTCCACAGCTCCTAGAGCTGGCACCCCGAGCTCCCCAGACCCCTCAGCCACACATCTACCCCTGGGCTGGGTCTTGTGACCCCTCAGCCATGTCCTTGCACAGCCACGGATCAGCTCCTCAGAACCGACCCACAGCAGCTGTTTCCCCAGACCTCTACGCATTTCTCCCTCAGTTGCTCTGAGACCCTCACAGCCATTCCCTATCCCTTCATAACATTTCCAGGACCCTCAGATCTGCTTCCCAGAACCCCAGAGCAGCTCCCCATCCCCTCAAAGCTGCTCCAGGACCCTCACAGCCACGCTCTCCCCTCCTCTGGCAGCCGTTCCCCAGTACCTCAGAGCCAGTCCTTCAGTTGCTCCGGGATCCTCAGAGCAGCTCCTCATCCCCTCGCAGCCACTCCGGGACTCTCAGTCACTACGAGTCCCCCTAAGCCATTCTCCATCCCCTCGCTGGGGATGCTGCTCTGGGACCCTGCAGCCGGTCCCGGGACGCTCGGAGTGCCTCCCCATCCCCTTAAAGCCACTTCCAGCCCCCCGAAGCTGCTCCAGGACCCTCAGACCTACTCCTTGCTGCATCGCACTCTCCAGAGCCCTACAGCCTATCCCAACTGCCCTTGACCTCCTGCCCATCCTCTCCCACCCCTCCGGAACCCTCACGACCACCACCGACCCCCATAACCATCCCCTCACAGTTTCCAGCCCCTATAACCGTCCCCTCACAGTTTCCAGCCCCCATAACCGTCCCCTCACAGTTTCCAGCCCCTATAACCGTCCCCTCACAGTTTCCAGCCCCCATAACCGTCCCCTCACAGTTTCCAGCCCCCATAACCGTCCCCTCACAGTTTCCAACCCCCATAACCGTCCCCTCACAGTTACCAGCCCCCCAGCCGTGTCCCCATCCCCTCACAGCCCCCCCCAAACCGCCGCAATCACTCCCAGCTCCTCACACTCGCCCCAGGCCGCCCCTCAGAGCCGCCCCCCGCCCTGTCCCCCCGTCACCTTCAGCAGATCCAAGGGGTGGGTGCAGCAGGCGGCCCCGGACGACGCGAGGCCGCCGAAGTACCAGCGCGAAACGCGCTGCTCCGCCATGGGCGCCGCTTCTGCCACAAGCCACGCCCTCACCGGGACCAGGCCACGCCCCCTTCCGTTAAGCCACGCCCCCTCCCGGTACCGGAAGGGGGTGGGGCTGGCCCGGGGCTCGCATCTCCGAGCGTGCGGCGAACGCGGCTACCGCAGGCTCCGGAATCCCCGTTTTCCCGCCCGGGGAAGTGGCTCTTCCCGTTAATAATGAACAGGGATTAATTAATGGGGAGGTGAAGCCATCAGTAACACGCAGAGTGAAGGCGGGGAGGCACAGGTACAAACGGCAGCGTTACCAGCGTGCACACACTGGGCGCAGGGAGAATCAGCGGCTGCACAATACACCTGCCCACCCCGCACGCATCTCCACAACCTGTGCAAGTGTGTTCTTCTCGTTAATAATTAACAGGGAGGTGAGACCATCAGCAAAAGGCAGTGAAAGGAGGTGGGTGATGCGCTGGTACCAACTTCCAGTACCTGAAGGGAGCCTACAAGAAAGATGGAGAGATACTATTTACAAGAGCATGTAGTGACAGGACAAGGGGGAATGGCTTCAAACTCAGAGTAGGTTGAGTTTAGATAACAGGAAATTTTTGGCTGTGAGGGTGGTGAGGCCCTGGCACAGGCTGCTGTGAATAGAAGCTGTGGCTGCCCCATCCCTGGAAGTGTTCAAGGCCAGGCTGGACAGGGCTTGGAGCAACCTTGCCTGGTGAAATGTGTCCCTGGCCATAGCAAGGGGCTGGAAGAAGATGATCTTTCAAGGTCACTTCCACCCTAAACCATTCTGACTCCATGAAATGGAATTGGGATAATCGGCATTTGAGAAAGAGGAATCATTTTACAGTTTTTTTTTTGATATTTATAAGAGCAAAGCTGTGGTACTCTGCTGTAATCTCACCATCCCTAAGTGTTCAGTGTATAGGTTAGAAATGGAAAATAGAGTTCATGGCGATGGCAGGAAGTAGCAGCTCCACCAAACCACACAGCATTCCTGGGGAGCGTGCTCCCACTGTGCCACACGCACTCAGAAGGGTCCGGAGCCCGGCTTGGGCAGCAGCTGCAGCACCAGTCTCTCCATGGTGGGACTACTCCAGAACAACAGTCCCTCCTGCTGCCTCTAGCGCTGCTTTGATCTTCTCTGCTTCCTCCTTGGAGGCGTTCGCCTTGATCTCCTGCGGAAGGGACTCCACCAGCTTCTTTGCCTGCAAGAGGGACAAAGTACAAGTCTTGTAAACAGGCTTTCACTAACTGGATTATTGGATTTAGAGCCATGATCCTGACCTCTGCTTAAGCCAACCATGGAAACTCACTGACCAGCACAAACCCCGAGACTCGCACGGCAGCCAAACCTGACTGCAAGTGATGATACATCTGCTGGGAAACCTCTTCCTGCGATTCACTGCTCTTCAATTCTTCCACCTTGTGCACGGCGCTCCCAGATGTGCACCCCAGCCTGTACAGGTGTGGGTGCAGGCAGAGCCCCACGCAGTGACCTGCTGAGGCGCTGGGCTGGCTCTGCTCAGTGACAATGTTTTGGTTCACATTCTTGTACCAGCAGGAGGTGAGGCCAGTGCAGGGTTCGGACACAGCTGCACTGGCTAGAACAGAGCTCCAGCACAGACTACTTAACAACACAATATTTTGACCTTTTAGGGACTTTTAAAGCAAAATTACTGGAACTAAGCAGCACCGCAATACTTAAAGCAAGCTGAAAAACTGTTGGGCTGATTTAAAGAATTTACTGCAGTGCTGCTGTAGAGAGGAATTGAGCCCAGGGGAATAAGCCCCTGCTGCTCTCACATGCAGCAGCTCTCGGCAACAGCACTGAAGGATTTAGCACCCACTGGACTGGCCACTGTGCTGGCAAAAAAATGCTTTCTTTGCTGGGGTTAGAAGGCACAGATGTGTGGGCAGTTGTCGGTGGGGCAGGAATGCCTTTGCTCACCAGGACAAGATTTGGACAGGAGCCTGTTCAGGCTCACTGCAATGAGGACAGGCAACACAACACAGGTTATTGATTTCTGAACTCTGCTCAGCAAGGTGTGACTCCATTCTAAAGCAGCCCTGGTCAAGAGAAGCAGCTACTCCTGGTGTTCAGTGGTAAGAAGAGCAGAACCCGAGACAAGTGGGATGCATGCAGCAGCAGCCATAGGGCAGAGGCAGCATGCTCCCAGGGCTGGTGGTGACAGAGGGTAAGCATGTGCTGGGCAGCTCCCAATGAGCCTCCTCAGGTGCAGCCAGCCTCGGTCCAGTGTGCTGATCATGCACCTGTCTCATCATGCAGTTGTTGCCACAGGACTGATGTTTGGGTCTCAACAGTGCCCAAGGTAATCACTATATGTGCTTCCCTCCATACTATCAGCAGCCCTAGAGGCCATGGGCAGATCCCTCTGCAAACCTTGTAAAAACCACCTTGACTGGATGGCAGTCAAATTGACAATAAAAGGGCTTTGGCTCCACTTTGAACACAACCTCTCTGCAGGTAGAACCTCCACGACTGTTTGTGTTGTGTGTGTGTGTTTCACTCAACATGCTGGGCTTGGGTACATCACACTTGAGTTTGCCTGCAATAAATGGAACCTAGGAACAGCTCATCCAGCAGGTGTCACATGCAAAGCCAACCTCAGTTAGCATCAGCTCTCCAGTTAATTTTATCTGCTGATTGTGTCCATTACAGGATTTGGCATTTTCATGTTTGCTTGGGATTGATAATAGATGAACAACTTCCAGAAGAATCACACTGACAGTCAGGTAATTATCCCCATGGGACAGCCAAACCTGTACCTGTGCCACTGACTTTCTCTGCTGGCTTTGCAACGCAGCAATAAAAATGGTCAGAAGATTATCTTCAAACACTTCTGCTCTCCTGGGCTACAACAGGAGCAGACACTGCAATGCTCAACACTGCAGCTGGAATACTGGAAAGTGATATGAAAGCATCACTGTGAAGTGCAGCACATTACATGCTTCAGCAGTAGCAGCTTGATCACCCAACATGCTGAGCCCACTTCCCAGGTCAAGCCTGAGCTCAGACACTGCCCAGGGCTGGGGCCCATCTCTTCCAAGGAAAGCAGCAGCACCACCTATAAAATCAAGGGCCCTGAAAAGAGCTGGAAGCCTGGATTGCAGGAAGCGTGAATTAGAGAGGCTCATTTAACTTCAGAAATACATTGGCTTTGGGAAAGGCAAGCCAAACCCAGCTGTAGCAAGAGATGCTGGCTACTGCTGAGCTCTGCAAGAAAGCTCACAACAGCACTCGGGTTTGGAGAAGCTGAGGGTGGCCCAGACATCTCCGAGTCCTTTGCTCTGAGCCTCCTCCTTCTTTCCCCTGCTTCTGACAAGGATAAAGGCCAGACAAAGGTGCAACCAAATCCTGCTCCCCAAGTCTTTGCACTGAGATGCACACAGGCAGACTGTGCTTCTGAATGCACAAATGCCGGCTCCCTTTGAACAGAGCCGAGGCTGCTGGACCTGGGGCAACAGAGCAGAGCCTGGGGCAGCACCTCCTCACCTGCACGAGGTTCACTCCCGGCACGAAATTCTTCACCTCCTTGATCAGCTTCACCTTGTCAGTGGCCTTCATCTCCGTCAGCCGGACGGTGAAATGAGTTTTCTCTTTCTTGAGCGGGACCACCTCCTCCTCCTCCTGGAAGCAGCCGGAGCGCGGTGAAGCCCCGCGGCCTCGCCCACCGGCCCCGCCCGGCCCCGCGCGTGCGGCCCCGCTCCCGCCCCTCCCGGAGCGCCCGGTACCTGCGGAGCCGCCTGCGCGGGCAGGTGGGAGGCGGCGGCCGCCGCGGGCATCACCGCCACGTCCGGGATCTTCAGCGTCTCCTGCGGGAAGAGCAGCGGCACCAGGACCGGTCAGGCGGCGCACGCGGCCGGGCCGGGACGAGCCGGGCCGGGCCGGGCCGGGCCGGGCCGCCCCCTGCACCCACCTTGAGCAGCGCGTTAAGATCGGCCACCTCCAGCAGCGTCAGCCCCGCGATGTCCTGCACCAGCTGCCGCACCTTGGGCGAGTACTCCTTGGCGGCCGTGTCCAGCGGCGCCCCGGCCAGCGCCTCCGAGCGCCGCGCGGGCCCGGTGCCGAGCGCCCGCAGCCCGGCGGGGAGCCCGCGGGGCGCGGGGAGCGGCGGGCGCGGAGGCAGCGGGAGCGGCGGCAGCGCGAGCAGCGCCCGGCGGGCGGCGGGCAGCGCGGCGGGCAGCATGGCGGCCCCAGGACACCGAGCGCTCCGCCCGCGCTCCCGGCGGGCCCCGCGCCGCGCTCGAGACCGGCCGGGAGCCAATCGGGACAGAGCGGCAGCGAAGCGGTGTGCGATGGGAGATGTAGGCAAAACAGAAAAGCAAATCAATCATAATAAATACATTACTGTTTATCATTCCTAAATGAGAGCAGAAAAAATTTCATGCCTGAAGGAACAGAAATTACTTCCTATCCGGAATGATTGGAAGGAGAATTGGTTATATTTCTACACTGTACACCACGGTTAGTGGTTGAATTGAAGCATAATGAGTGCAAATTAAAAGAAACAAAAATAAAGTCCGAAAGCCTTGTCATTTTTTGACTTTCCCTAATTGCAGTAATACATTCAAATCCTCCATAAAGCTTAATAATTTTTATGCATCTACAGCAGAAACATTCTAGACACTGTAGGAAGGAAATTTATGTGGCCAAAGCTCAATTTGAGCTGAAACTGTCCACAACTGCGGGGGAACCGGAGTTGCACCCCGGAGCTGCTGCCACCCCTCGGCTACCATTTGCCCGGTTCGCTGGCGGGATGCCCCGGCGGGCGCCGCGCCGCCCCGCACAGCACACGAGACCGCAGTTGGTTCCAACACTTTATTGTCACCGATAGCGCTCACAGGCCCGGCCAAGGGCCCCGGGCGCTGCAGGGAGCGGGGCTCAGCGGGGATGGGGCAAAGCTGGCACCGGGGACCGGGCGGGGCTGGAGAGCGGCGCCCTTGGGGCCTACGCCTCAAGCCCCGCGGCAACGACAGGGGCAGGGCGAGCTCCCGCCCGGGCCCAGGGGCCACCACTGCCCAGGGCGGGTGAGTGAGCCAGGGGCTGCAGGGCACGGGGGGCTGCAGCCCTGCCCCTTGGTCCCCAAAGCCGGCAGCAGGAGCCTCTGGCCCCACCGTCCCTGGGGCCCGGGGCCGGGGGGCAGGATGAGTAGTCGAAGTACAGAGTGATTTCGGATGAAGAGTAGTGTTACACTGGACCCACGGGATCCTGAGAACCCTGTGCCCTGTGGCTGCCATCAGTCAAACGAGATGAGCTGGGCCTCTCCGCTGCCCGGGGGCTGCTGCCCGGGGGCAGGCGCTGCTGGGGGCTGCTGCTGGGGGGGCCCCCCAGCTGGAGCCACCTGGAGCAGAGGAAACACCTTTGTTAGCGTGTGGCTTCGTTAGCACACGTGCCCCGCTGGGTCCTGAGCCCCTGGGCTGGTGGCACTCACCTGTTGGTAGAGGGGCTGCTGCCCGGGCAGGTAGGACTGCTGGGCTGGCAGGCTGCTCAAAGCTGTGTCCTGGCCTGGCAGGGCAGACATGAGACCCTATGGGAACGAGGGGGTGGGTGTCAGAGGGGCTGGGGTACCTGCAGCACCCACAGGGCAGTGTGACTGCCCCCAGCCTCCACCAGACCTCCCCCAGGATGGCTCCATGGGCTGGAGCCCAGACATGCCTTGTTCCCTCAAGCCCAAGCAGGGAGCACTCACCTGCATGCTGTAGGGCTGGTAGCCCATGGAGACAGACTGGTTGCCCATGTAGCCCATGGTGCCCGACTGGGGTGCCTGGGAGATGGCTGGGATGCTCTGCGACTGTGAGGCTGCAGTCTGTGGGGAGAGGCTGGTGAGAGGTGGCACAGGCAGCAGTGGCTCACATCTCCAGACAAGGCCCTTGAGCCCAGAACTGGATCTAACTCCAGCCCACTTCCACAGCAAGAGCAGCAGATCTGGAGATCCTCTCCCTCTCCTCCATCCTCTCCCCTGCTCAGAGATCCCATTGCTGAGTTTGGGTACGTTGCCCAGCCCCACAGAACCCCCCAGCCCTTGTCCCAGTTGGCCGCAGGCTGCGCTGCCTCACTTGCCTGGTAGCCCTGTGTGGGTGTGGGCTGGTAGGATGAATATGCAGGGGTGGTGGTGGGCACCGCCGGCCCCTGCTGAGGCCCCTGTGCACTGCTGGCACCCGGCTGGTACATGTAGGCATTCACCATGCTGGGATCTGTGTGGAGAGAGCAGAGGTTGGAGCAGCCACCTTGGGCTCACCCCTATCCCCAGAGGCTGAGCTGCCCAACGTACCAGTCCCAGTGACGGGCATGGCAGTGTACGGGCCAGTTCCCCCCTGTGCAGCCTGGTTCATGTACACGCTGTGCATGGGAGAGCCCTCCACAGAGCCAGCTGGGCTGAAGGTGCCAGGGAAGCTGGTGGGCCCAGAGGGCTGGTAGATCACCCCACTGGCTGCAGGCATGGCCTGGAGCTGGTGGGAGAAGGAAAGCCAGCTTAAAGCCACAGTCCCTGGAACCTGGCAGGGGGAGCCTATCCCAGCAGCTGTACCTGGGCATAAGGCAGTGAGAAAGCTGGCATCTGAGCTCTCATCTGGATGGTCTGCTTCTGCTGCTCCAGGCGCAGCTGCCTCTCCTTCTCCTGCTCCTGCAGTCGCTGGATGGCCAGCTGACGCTGCATCTCCAGGTACTCCTGTGGAAACAGGGCTGCGGTGGCCACGATTCCACACAACCCCTCCTACCAGGGCAGCCATCCCTGCGCTGGGCCACAGTGCAGGCAGGCCTGGAACACCCTGGCCATGCTTCCCTGCCTCACCTGCTTCTTCTGCCTCATGATCTCCAGCTTCTGTGCCAGCTGGATCTGGCGCTGCCGCTCTGCCTCCTCTGCTGCACGGCGCAGCTTCTCCTGGTGCTCCTCCCGCAGCGCGTTCAGAGCCCCACGAGCATCCCGGATCTGGGCCAGCTTGTCCTGCAGACCTTCATAGTACACTGGGGAGGGAAGGGACAGCCTCAGGAACGTGGGGACAGAGCACCTGGACTGCCCCTGCACTCCACACCAGCTTCTCTCTAGTTAGACTGCGTCACAGGAATGCTGGACCCGGACACTGGGGAAGGCCTGGCTGCCGCCCACCCCACCCAGGGCCAGCAGCTCCCTCAGCTCCCACGCACGCCTGCGCTCGTCCAGCTGGTTGAGCAGCTCCAGCAGCTGCGGGTGCATGTTGTTGATGGACTGGAAGAGGGACAACACGGCAGAGTCGTTGGTGATGCTGCGGCCTCGCATGTGGTTGCTCTTCATGCGGTTGACGAACGTGGTGACTGCGTTCTGCAGCGCCTTCAGGAACTGCTCGTGGTTCTCCTCGGACTCACCGTTTTGGTACTGCTGCTGGAAGGAAGGAAGGAAGGATGGGGCAGCCAGTCAGCTGTGACCTCCCATGCCAAGAGCCAGCAGCCAGCCTACAGAGCCCAGGATTCGGGTGCTTCTTGCCCCTCGGTAGGTGTCAGATGCAGGCCCAGGCCCCCTCTTACCTCAACCACCCCAAGAGGAGCAGGGTGGGCTTCCCCAGGCTGCACAGTTGGCTCTGTCAGGGACAGGGGCGCTGACGGTGTGGGGCTCTTGCGAACCTCCTCCTGTTTCTTCTCCCAGTAGTTGCGGTTCAGGTACCGAGCCAGCTGCCAGGAAGAGAAGGAAGATGAGAATCACTGCCTTGCAGAAACAAGCCTGTGCTGCAGACTAGCAGGACCAGGATCCTTACCTCTGGGTCAATGTCCTCGGCCAAGGGAGCAGAGGAATTCTGGAAAGAGACAATTGGAGAAATATAGTTCAGCAAAACAAGAGATCCCCAGGTCCCACACAGATGTTCAGCTCAGACTGGCCACGTATGACCACAAGTGCTGAGCACCAGTGAGAGCCTCAAAGGGGACACAAGCTGGGAGGCAGTGGAGGCACCTAAGTCCTGGCTGAGAACACACCTTCTTACCCAAAACACAGTGAATGAGCAAGGGGTTGAAATGGAAAAATCTTTTCCCTCAGTATGGGGATTAAATTGGACACAATCAGGGCAGAGCTGGGCTCAGGAAGTGGTCTGTGCCCAGCCAGGTCATGTACAGGAGCTGCCATGGACGTACCACAGGCGGGGAGTAGAGTGTGCTGACCGGGGGAGCTGACGACGTGACAGGAGTGGGCTCGGCCTTAGGGTACATGGAGTAGGTTGTTTTCTGCCTCTGCAAAAGAGAAAAATGCCAACTCAGAGAGAGCCCAGGCTTCTCCAAACCAACTACAAGACACTATGCCTGGCTCTGTTTCCACCCTCTCTTTCCACAGGCTTTGAGCCTTGCTCACACCAGGATATGCCCAGAGCTCTGTTATAGCCCAGCATAGCTGGGCTGAAGAGCAAGAACCCCTCCCAGATCTCGGCAGCGAACAAACCATTCTCTCCTTCTCCTCAGCCTCTGACTGAGACAAGGCAATAGCCAGCTGGAGCTCCTCTTCCTCTTGTAGAGCTGTCTCATCACGCTTTGGAGGCAGCTGGAAGTGGAAAGATGAAGAGGTGGTCAATAATGGGATAAACACACAGGTCAGGATCACCAGATCATCTATGGGGCAGCCACTCACCTGGGACTGCTGAGAGAGGGGGCTGGTCAGGTACTCAGGGGGCAGTTCAGAGGTGGCAGCAGCTTTACCCTCAGTCTTCCTGTAATGACAGGAGACGATATGGACTGAATGCTCCCTTGCCCGCACCAGAGCCCAGCTCTGCACAATGTTCCAACGGCTAGCCCCACTCCCAGGAAGGAAGAGGGCCCAGCCCAGCCTGCACAGCCTGGGAAGCCCTCACTGTGCTCTGCAGGGAGCTAGTTCCACACCATGCTTCCCCCATCAAAGTCCCGGCTGTCACAGGCAAAGAAACCCACCACGAAGGGTACTGACTTGTTGAGATGCTCATAGCAGGGCTCACAGACTCTCACTTCCTTCTCAATCCCAAACTTGGGGATGGTGGAATACTTGGAGGAGCATTTTCCACAGAAGATCTGCCCACAGGCCCGGCAGTGGTGCTGTGAAGGAGAGGAGATGTGAGTGTGGTGGCAAGACATTCCTTCTCCTTTAGTCAACATCACCCAGACACTCCTGTCATTTCCCTGCCAGCAGCAGGAAACACGGTCTGTCCCCAGCACACTTCCACACAGCAAGTCCTGCAGGGAGCTCTGCAAGTCCCAAGGGCTGTGTGGGGCGGGGAGCCCGGAGGGGCACGAGCAGCACCCACCTTCCGTGTCACAACGCCAAACTGCACTCGGCACCTGTGGCACTCCTCTGCATCCACCCAGTCTGGAGCCTGCAGGGGCCAAGGGAAACTGTGTAAGGAGGGAGGAGTGCACTGGCACTGGGCCTTTCAGGAGCTCTGATGGCTACTGGGGCTCTCATGTCTCACAGGGGAGACTGGAGGCATTTGCAGCTCAACAGGAAATATTAATTCCTACAAGTTATCACCTCTCATGTTCCTTAGAGACTGTGCTGCTTTCCTAGTCAGTACAAGATTTGCTAGGAAAGTGCACAGCAATCACTTCAGCAATGCCCTGCTGTCACATCCAGCCTGCCAAGCTGCTACAAGGCCAGCGAGCAGGAGGAATGATGGGTCTGACTCCCTGTCCTGCTCAGCTCTCCCAGCAAGGTCTCCAAGCCTCACAAAACAGAGGGATGCCAGACCTGCAGGTTTAGCAGGAAGGGCATGGGAAAGCAAGTCTATCCCACAGTCCCAGCTGCTCCCCCCCCACCAGAGCTCACCCTCTCTGCAGCGAACATGGCATCACTCTCCTTGAACTCTGGGAAGACGTGACCTGCAGGAGAAATGGAGCCCTGTTGTGAGAGGAATCCTCTGGCACAGGGGGGCCATGTGCCTGCAAGCTCATGCTATAGGTGCCAGCTCAGCACCACCTCTTGTCTTGACCAGCACCTCCCTCTGACTCCCCTCAGCCCTGGTCTGAGGACAATCCCCAATTGTTTTCCTTACACACCCACAAAGGTCACAGGCCTCTGGATAAGGTTGATTATTTCTCAGTACTTTGAAGTGAGGGGGATAAAAAGCCCACTGGATGGGCAGGCAGGGCTGTTAGTTTCAGCCCTTGAAGGGCCAGAGTTTGACAGCACCAGCTCAGGATGGTGGACTGACCATCCAAGCTTGTGCCACTGTCTGCAGAGCTTGTGGTGCACAGAAGGAAGCAGAGGCAGCAGCATGTCCCTGCCCTTGAAGCACACTGCTGTCCTGGGACAGAAGGGAAAATGTCACACCAACACTGTGTGAGCAAGTGGGAATGCAGACTATCCTGGGAGCAGGAACAAAAGCCTGTAAGGAAGGAACTGCCCCACAGCAAATCCCTCCCAGAGGACATGACGACTCGCTGCCAGTCTCTCCAAGAACAGTTGCAGCTCCTGCTTTTCAGGTGTCCCTGCCAGCCCTGAGGCTGGGCTGGAGGCCCAGAGCAAGGCTGCCCTGGTTCTGGGACCACTGGATTGTCCCATGTCTGCAGAAGGATTTAGTCACCCTGAAGGATTAACTGGTTTTTGGGAACCAAGGAAGAGTGCACTGCTGCAAGTCCAGATTTTTCTCACACCAGGCACAGAATTGCCAAGGCTTCTGCAGAGCAGAGCTGCTTCACCAGGTGTCCCCTCACCTGTGGCCACAGTCCTCACCTTCAACCTTCATTATCTGATAGGTGTCCTGCACCACCTTGTACTTGGGCTCGTTGCGGAAGGCGTGAGCCCAGGCCTGGATGAGGTATAGGATCTTACTGCGGACGCTGGTCTCCACTTGCCTCTGCACAGGAAGGGAGGAGAAAAAAACATCTGAGAACATGTCCCTAAAACCCAAAGGATGGTGTGAATCCCCTGAAGAGAAGCCAGAAATACCACTCAGGAAAGAGAGACTTTAGAGTACTTGGGAGAAGTAAGAGCTGTCAGAAACCTGCAGTGAAGACAATGCACAGCACAGACAACAAACCCCTCCAGTGCCCCACTGCCCCTTCCAGTACAAACAACAGAATGTCCTTGGAGCAGCACAGACCACCTGAACAGAGCTGTGGCCTTGATGCTTAGAGCAAATGCCTGGCAGCTCTGTCCAACCCCTCACCAGAGCCACCCATCCCACACTCAGAACACGGTGGGAGCCCCTGGCCAGTACAGCACAGCCCACCTCGCCTGCCCAACGACAGTGTGGAGGGGCCTGGAAAGTGTCAGCACCTCCACTCCAGGAGTACTCAAAGGCATCTCAGGATGTGACACAGTGAGGACAGCTGGGACAGCTGCCCTTTGCACGCAGGGGCAACTGCATCACACTTCAAGGAACTGGAGAAAAGTTGGCAAGCCTGTTGTGACCTCAGCCAGCCTCAGAGCCGCTGTCATCAGCTGCCCAAGTGATCACACCCACATGACTGGCTGTTCCAGAAATCCCCAGGAAGCACAGGAGCACTGTCAAGCTTTGATTTTAGCCAAGACCTCGGCCCACACAGCATCACTTACTGACAATTCCTGGAGCTCCAACTTCTAGAACATTTGGCAAAATCCTGCATTCCATACATGTTACAGCCCTGAACCTCATCAGAACTTGGACTGTTTTACCAGCATTGGGTGCTCACAAGCAGCAAAGTTCCAAGTGTGGGAGGAGAATGGGGCAGCTGTGAAACTCCTGAGGCAGGCAAGGACTGAGAGAACCACAAAATCCCTGGATCTGGTTCGATCTCCTCAGCCCTTGGAGCAGCTGTGCTACCATACCTGTCATGCTATGGCAGTGTTCCTGCCTCGGGAGAACTCTCCTGCATGGAGACTGAGTCAGCCCTAACAGGAATGTGACAGGAGAGACACCCTGCTTGCTGTGCGAGGTGACAGGACTCACACAGCTCGTCCTCCAAGGATCTGGGTCACCTGATAGTTTATTTCTGGTGGAAGACAGAAGCTGTAAGGAAGGAACAGTACGATGCTAATAAGCTCTTGTCTGGGCATTTCTGTTCTGAATTGGGAGCTGCAGACGGGAGCTCTCATTTCCACTTCACTAATGGAATTCCCCACTCCAAGGACACAAGAAGCTTCAGGAGGCACCAGACTGGTGATAGCTTGTAACAACAACTTGTCAGTGCCAGCAGCCACGGTCACATCCTGCAGAGCTCCGGAACAACTCCACGTGCCAATGAAACGGCTGTGACACAGAGGCAGCTCCAGCTGGTTTTTCCTTTGTTGCTTTACCTGCCTGTGTATCTCTCGTTGTGCCACGAGAGGGAATTCGCCTTGCCACTGCCCAGGTCCTTGGTACAGGTGCCAGGCCACCACCATCTGTTCTCCTTTGCTGTCCCAACCCAAGTGTTGCATCCAGGAGCATTTACCGTGGCATGGCCCAGGTCTCTGCAGCACATTCCTGCCATTTCACAGCACAAACCTCTGCTCTTCCCAGAAGCCCTCCTTCACTGCCTACACTCACCCTTTCACACCACACGATAGTTTGCTCTTTTCTGAAATGCATTTCCAGTTTCCCTTCTGCTCCTTACCCAAAGAGGACACAAGAGAGAACACATACACTTCTTCCTGCTGCTGCTGCTTTTCCATAGGAAAAAAATGCCAGTAAAATAAATTTATTTACCTTGAGTATTTCCTTCAGCTCTTCCATGGTCTGTTTATTGGCCACCTCATCATGGACTGTTTGGCCACAGTTTTTAACCACTGACTCCATGACCTGCAAGGGCCAAGATAACATCAGCCAACAGCTTCCTGCCTCCCCTGCACTTGTCCCAGCACACAGGCTGAACATGGGGCACTACTGAAGCAATGAGGTGTTGGGGCCATGTCAACCCACTCCCTACACTGGGAGCCAGCTGTCCTTCACTGCTGTGGGGGGCTGGGGGCCTTCTGCTTTGTGGAAACCAACCCCGGGGAGAGCGGCTCAAGTCTCAGCTTTGCCTGTTCCAAAACCAAGGAGGAACTAAAGCATGAAGGTCCTGGCCTGATCACCCCAAATCCTCTGTGCCAGAGTCAGGAAGAGGCTGGCTCCACGCTTTGCAGCCTGAAGCAGGTAGTCAGAAGCCCCTGCTGTGCTCCCAGCCAGGTGCTGTTACCTCCAGCGCGTACAGGGCCACGTGGGGATTCTTGTCATTCACTTTCTTCTTGATGGCGTTGACGGCGTATTTCGCTCTGGGTAGGGGAGAAGAGGGGACATGTTCTCAAGGGAATCAAGGATCTGCAGGGACATCCCACCTGCTGCTGACATCCCACCAATCCTCACCCTGACACGGAGGGCACAGTTAGACATGGGGTACAGGATTCACTGAGTGAAACTGGGAAGGAAGAAGTGCATTCAAGTTTCAGTTTCCCTAAGGGTGTCAGGCCAGGGTAATCTGCAGCTCCCAGGACCTGGAAGCACGCCAGCACATCAAGTATGCTGTACAGCCCCTTGGATGCTCTCATGGAACGGTATATGATGCTCGAAGGGTCTCCTTCCTTGTGCAGACAGAAGAACTGTGCCCACAGAATGTCCAAAAGCCCAGGAGCACTTACTGGGTGTCTCCCTGACGGATCATGTCGCAGATCTGCAGGATGGATTCCCAATCTGTCTCGAGCAGGAGCTGGCTCGTGGCCTTATCTGCAGTGAACGAACCCACCAGGCCGCCGTGAGCCGCGCTGTGCCGCGGCTCCGCTCCGCCACCGGCGCGTCCCTGCGAGCGCTCCGGGCGTGGCGCTGCCCCGAGGCTCGGGGACAAACCCCCGATTTCACCGGAGAGCACCGACCCTCCCGCTTCAGGCACCCCCGGGCGCTCGGTAACCTCGGCCCCGCCGCTGCCGCTCCTCCCGGGCGCCACCGGGCTGCGGCATCGCGACCCGACCCGGCCCAACCGGGTCCGTGCTCTGGGCCCGCCTGCTCCCGGGGCCGAGCGCTGCGGACCCCGACCCGGTTCCCGTCCCGCCCGCCGAGGGAGCCGCGCCGGTACCGAGGAGCCGCTCGAAGGTGCCGCCGCCGCGCCCCATGGTGTCCGCCCGCCGCCGACCCGGCCCGTTCCGATCGCTCCGGCCCGGTCCGTCCCCCGCCCCGCCGCGGCACTTCCGCTTCCGGCTTCCGCCGGGCGGTGCCGCTTCCGGGGGCGGCTCCGCCATGGCCGCGGGGCGCTGCCCCCCCACGCTCCTGCTGCTGGGGGCGGCGGGCGGCGGCAAGAGCCTCCTGGTGCGGCGGCTGCGCCATATCCGTGCGGCACGGGGGCACCGGGCCACCGGGGACATGGGGAGGGGAGGGTCGGGCCGGCGGGGGGCGGGCCCGGGGCCGGGCGGGCCGGGACCGCACCTCCGGCCCGTTCCCGGAGCCACCGTGTCCTTAACGCGAGACACAGCTGAGCGCTGAGGAGCCCGCGGAGCTGGGCGAGCCCCCGGCCACGCTGCCCACGGTAGGTACGGCCCGGTGGGGCCGAGGGGCTCCGGGGCACGGCCGTGGGGGCTCCGGGGCACGGCCGCAGCCAGCCGGGCGCCTGTCGCGCAGGTGGGCACCAACCTGACGGACCTGCGGCTGCCGCGGAAAGTGACCGTGCGGGAGCTGGGCGGCTGCATGGGCCCCATCTGGCCCAGCTACTACAGCGAGTGCAGCGCTCTCCTGGTGAGCAGCACCGGGAACCCCTCCCGGGGCCACGGACGCGGGGAGAGGGGCGGCCAGGGCTGGGGTCGGTCGGTCGGTCCCCTCGGGTTCCCCCCGTAGTGGGATTTCCTTCCTCCGTGCCCTGCTCTGGCCCAGCCCGGCCCCGGGTTGCTCTTAGCACACCCGCACCCCTCTTTCCCTTCTTCCCTCCAGTTCGTGGTGGATGCCTCCAACCCCACCCAGGTCTCCTCGTCCTGCATCCAGCTGCTCTCTGTGCTCTCTGCAGCGCCGCTCGCCTCTGTGCCCGTCCTGGTCCTCTTCAACAAGATGTGAGGAGGGTCACCCGGAGGGTGGGGGTGCCAGGGAGCAGCGGCTGTGCCCTGGGCAGGGCAGGGGAGCCATCGTGGCTGGCTGACACAGCTCCTCTCGCCATCGCAGTGACCTGCCCTGCTACATGTCCCTGGTGGAGATGAAGTCACTGTTCCGCATGCAGGACATCGTGTCCTGTGCTACGCAGCCCATCACGATGCTGGAGACCAGCGCCCGCGATGGCACCGGCCTGGCCGAGGTCCTGCAGTGGCTTCGGACCACCCTCAAAGACCCCTGCTGACCCCAGCCCTGCCAGGTGCCCGTGGCAGCCCGAGACAATCCTGTCACAGAAGGAGGTGGCAAAGGAGCAGCTGCCCTGCCTGGTGCTGGGAGCAGAGCCCAGGACAGTGCCGTGGGCTGTTGATGGACTGCATCCCTGTAGGACCTCACAGTAAAACTCCCACCAAATTGTCTAGGCTGGTGGCTGCCCTGTGGGGGTTTTGGGGAAGGGACAAGCAGAAGCCACAGAGGCCAGATCATGCTGGCACTGCTTGACATGTGCCACAGCACACCCTGCCCTGGGCCTGTCGCTGCTGTGGCACTGAGGCAGCTGTCACCCCAGGGCCTGGAGCTGCCAACAGCATGACGTGGAGAGGAGCGGCTCCTGGTGCTGGGGGCTGCAGCTATCGCACTGTGATGGTAGTGGGTGGCAGTGGCCTTTGCTCCAGCAGTGTGGGCTGAGCTGGGCTCTGCCCCAGGCAGCCCCACGGGAAAGCCGGTGGTGCCAAGGAGCCCGAACACACCCTGACACTGCTGCTGAGTCACCACCATGAACAGCACTGACACACCAGCCCTACCTGCCTGCTTCCAACCCAGCAGGTCCAGATACCAGCCAGAGCACTCCTGCACAGCAGAGCTTTAATGGGCCAGGTCAGCTTGAGCCCAGAGTCCCTGCCCAGCCCAGCACTCAGCATCATGGTGATTCTTCCAAGTCCGTCTCGCCAGCCAGTGCAGTGGGTGCAGGGCTGCTGGGGGTGGCCCAGTGACCTTGTCTGTGGGACTGGAGCTGGTCAGCTGCTCTCCTGGTGAGCCAGGTACTAGGCTGGAGCTGAGTCCATGCTTGCTGTCCTTAGGCACTGTGAAGGTGGTTGTGGAGAAAGTTCCCTGATTCCCAAAGGATTCTGAAAACAGCCCAGGGCACGCTAGCAGGACAGAGAGCTGAAGAGCTGTTCTCTGCAGGTAGTGAGCCTCCACAGAGCAGGGTTGTGCTGGTGAGGCAGTCCTGCATGGAGCTGTGCCCTGAGGTGTGACAGCAGTCCTGGTCCTGTACGTACTGCATCCCAGCAGCTCCTGCAACCCTGAGATACAGCATGCCACAGTGGGTTCTTGGCCACGGCAAGAGGGGAGGATCTTCCCCAGCACTCATGGTTCCCCAGCTTCCAGCGCTGTGTTGTGATGGACAGATTCAGTCCCAGCTGCAAGCAGAGTCTGTTCCATCCTGTTCCTTCCTGTAGAGCTAAGAGGACAGAGTCCCTAAAATCCCATAGGGGAGAGGGGGCTCTTAAGTGTCATCTCTCTCCAGGTCCTTGTCCCAGACCTGCCTCCATCCTCTTCCCTGTCCCCAGGCCTCAGTAACACCAAGGATCCTGCATCCCTGGGACAGGCAGAGGAGCACCTGTGCACATGGCTGAGTTGTGGGTGCCCTGGCAGCCCCTCCCCACTGCCCTTCATGCTGGCCTCACCTGGGATTCAGGAACGTCTGTGTCTCTGCTCATAAACAGAGTGAAGCTTCTGGATGAGAAATACCTTATCTTCCCCTTCCTGCAACATCAGAGAGTGTGCAGTGAGCACAGTGGGGTGGCTGAGTGGCAGTGCTGGGGCCAGAGCCCAGAGTGGCTGGGGCTGCAGCAGGCTGTGCAGCAGTGGGATGGGCACAGGCAGTGCTCACGCACGTTGGCAATCTGCTCCTGCAGCAGGCAGATGACCCTCTGGCGGCCTCTTACCACCTGGATGTTGAAGTAGATCACAGCTCTGCAATGACAGAGGATGGGATGGTGGCAGCCAGGCAGGAAGCTGAGGGGCACCTTGGCTCCCAGCCCCACTCAGGTCTGTGGCAGCAGCACCCTCAAAGTGAGGACCCGGGGTTCAGCCTTGGGCTCGGGTCCATACTCACATCAGGGCCACAGACATGAAGAACTGGAGGCAGGTGTTCTCCAACAGATGCTGGTAGACCCAGGCAAACCAGGTGATGTTGGGGTTGGACTTCTCCAGCACTAGCACCCACCTCCTCCCTGACTTGTACATGGTTTCCAGCCCCCGGAAGGGACCACAGGTTTCTGATGGAGGCACCCTGAGCAAACAGACCAACAGGGCATTCAGAGTGAGCAGCCCAGCAATTACTGGCTCCAGCCCAGGGCACAGCCTGTCTCAGATGTCCAGCCCCCCAGGGACCCAGCCTCACTGTCCCCAGCATCCCCAGGGAGTCCTTGTCCCTACCTCCTGCACCAGGAACAGCTGGAGGGAGTGAGCAGGGGCAGCAGCTGGGGGGCTCATCCCATGCCTGGGGATGCCAGGGACGGGGGCCATGGTCTCCCCAGCCCCTCCTTCTCCCAGCAGCCAGGGGTCCTGTGCCCTGAGCCGTGGCCTCGTGGGTACTCACGACCAGATGGTGTAGGAGAGGAAGGCAGCTGCACCCAGGAAGGAGGGGAAGCACAGCAGAGTGATGAACACGGTGCTCATGCGTGATGCTTGCCAGGGCTTGCTGGGGGACTGGCAGTTCTGCATCAGGCTGGTCTGTGGATAGGGACATGCATGGACACTGCTCCTGGAGAGCTGTCTGCACCCTGCTGTCCCCTCCCTCCCACTGGGAGCCGTGAGCTCGGGGATATCCTGTCCCCAGAAGCCCCCACTCAGTTCCACAAGGACGAGGCTGCTCCACGTGGCAGCACCGCTGCAGCAGAGGCTGATGGCAACAGGGCACAGCTCCATGAGGAGCTGCAGGGGGTGGGGGAATCACACCTTTTTGATATAGAACAGCAGCAGCAGCTTCAGCATCTGCACAGCTGGCAGGAGCGGGGAGAAGAGAATGCCCAGCCTGGGAGCAGGGGAAAGACAAGCTTGTCTGAGTCTGAGCCCCAGGGGAGACAGTGGTGGGCAGAGCTACAGCACCCACAGGACTCCTGGGGACTGCAGGGCATTTGCCAGCAGAGGAAGGAGTGACACCAGGCAGGAACCTCTCACCAGGTCAGGGTCTGCCCATAGATCAGCTCCAGCACGTTTCGGGCAATATCAAACTCTGGCCTCTGCTTTGTCTTCAGCCTCTTCTCCAGGATTAGCCTGGGTAGAAGTGGAACTCTGCTCCCACACTGCCTGGGGGGACTTCACACCCCACCTTCCCCCTCTGATGGCACAGAGCCTGGGTGCACCAGACAGCTGGGGCCATGCAGGGATGCCACCACACTGGTGGAGGGACATGTCTTGGGGTACATTACCTCCAGATCAGCTCCCCAAAGAGTGTATCCAGCAAGGTGAATATGAAATCCATCACCATGAATCGATACAGGTCCTGCCCCACACACGTCTCCCAGCACTGGGGAGACAATCAAGTGTGGCATAGAATCACAGAATGGTTTGGGTTGGAAGGAACCCTAAAGCTCATCTCTTTCCCCACCCTGCCATGGGCAGACACCCTTCCACTAGACCATGTTGCTCTGAGTCCTGTCCAACCTGGCCTTCAACAGTTCCAGGGATGGGGCACCCACAGCTTCTCTGGGAAGCTATGTCAGAGTCTCACCACCCTCACAGGGAAGAATTTCTTCCTGATATCTAATGGAGAAGATGCCACCAACACAACCCCATGCTCAGCCCAGCCCTCCATGGCCCTGAGGCAGTGGTGCTGACCTCCTCTGTTGAGCAGATAACGCTCCGGCTGAGCCACTGGTAGCACAGCAGGATGAGAACCATCGACTTCAGGATGAGGTTCCTGGAGAGCAGGAGCAGTGCCAGAAGTCCCTGAGCCCAGGGAATGGAGGGGCTGAGCCCCACAGATGGGGTGCCTGGCCCCAAAGCCTCCCTGCCTGCCACAGGTGCGGAATGCTCCCTCCACCACAGCCCCAGCCAGCCCACCTGACGATTGCCACGTAGACCTGTGTCACTGGGGAGTCCTGCTTCTCCCACATGGCCAGCAGGTTGTACAGGTGGGGCATCAAGGCATTGAGGAGGGACACCACAAGGGGCAGGACCAGCAGAATGGCTTCTTGCTGCCATCTGCTACTGCCCTGTGCTTGTTGATCCTGCCGAACCTGGTGGGCAGGTACTGGGGTGAGCACACAACTGTTGGCAGCCAGGTGCAGAGTCCTTTGGGAGAGCAGCAAATGCCCAGCCCAGGAGCAGAGCTGCAGTGTGGCTGTCCCTGCCTCTCTCCCCAGTATCCCAGCCCTGTCCCTCCAGCCCCAGGACAGGGGATCCCAGATGAGAGGTGTACTCACCATGTGCATGTGCTCTGAGAAGTAGTGTAGAGCCAGCACACAGCCTGACACCGAGCCCAGAGCCAGGACCCAGGCCAGCAGCATCACCAGGCAGTGCCTCAGGCACTGGCAGCGGCTCTGGGAGCGGGAGCGGGAGCGCTGCTCCACCAGCAGCTCCTGGAAGAGAGCAGCAGTGATGGACAAAGCAAAGCGCAACGTTGGCGTCTGGGCTGTTTTGCATGGCCCAGGTACCTACCTTCAGCTGGGTGCAGATGTTCTCGCACTGCAGCTTCACCGAGCGCCTCTGCATCACCTTGAAGTCCCAGGCACAGAAGACTTTGATGGCCAAGACCCCTGTGGAGCTTCCCACGCTCTCCCGAAAAGAGCGGGACACACTGCAGCGAGGTGAAGGGCATCAGGGACTGGGGCTGGGTGAAAGGGAAGGCTGGCAGTGCCACACGTGCTGCTGACCCACCTGTACACCAGCAGGATGCAGGTGCCAAGGAAGGAGACCCCAACACTGTACAGGTAGGCCAGTGGCAAGTTGTAGGGGAGTGAAGGGGCTGCGAGGGGGCACTCGCTGCCCTGAGGACTGGAGGTGCAGGGGTCATTTAGGGTGACGTTGCTGTAGTAGCCGTAGTACAGCAGTGAGTGTGTGAAGTAGCCCTGCGGGAAAGCACACGATGGCCCCACGGTGATCTCGGCAGTGCTCGCAGCTTCCTGCTTAGCTTGGCACCTCTGTGCCAGCCTCAGGGACACAGAGCCTTGGGCTGGGGCAGCACCACCTTGTGCACCCACAGCACCGGTGGCCCTGGAGCCCAGGAGAGCAAAAACTGGGGTACAGTTACAGTGGGGAAGTGGGGCTGCCCCCAGGCTTGGTGCAGCCCCTGACCTGGGGTGCCTGGGCCATGCTTACCGCTCCTGTGAGGAGCTCGAGGCCAGTGAAGGGCTGGGGGCTCGCTGGTGCAGAGGGGTACACAGCCTGCACGACCACCACGAAGGCCAGGAGGATGAGGAATGAAAAGAAGTTCAACATAAGGAGTGTCTTGAGGAAGAGGAAGTAGGAGAGGACACTGGAGCCAAAGCGGCCGCCAATCTGCTTCAGGGCATAGTGCCAGGGCTGTGCAGTGCGGAGCAGGGACAGGAGCCTGTACCAGAGACCTCGGCAGCCCTGCAGAGAGGAAAACGGGGAGAGCAGTGGGGCTGGAGCCTGCACTGGAGCCCTCACAGCCTCTGTGCAGACCTGTGCCCCTGACTTACGAGGACGACGCAGACCTTGGGCCAAGCACAGGGTGAGCAGGGGGCCCAGTGACGGGCACGCTGCCCCAGGGGGCCCCTCTGCCCGCTCAGCTGCCGCCTGCCCAGAAGAGAGGGGTGTCAGAGGGTACCACAGGGACAGCTCCGGCTGCGGGTGTCCCGCCGAGCTGGCGCTGACGGAAGGGCTCCTACCGGAGGATGCGTTTCTCCGCCAGGCTGAGGGGCATGGTGAGCAGCATGTGGCTGCACTGGCTGGGTGAGAGGCTCAGCAGCTCCTTCACCAGCAGGCGCCGCTTCTCTGGGGCACAAGGGGCTCAGTGAGACACGGCCGGCCGGGTCACGGCATGCCTGTCCCTAACCCAGCGTGGGGACCGTGGCCAGCACTGCCTTCCCACAGTCTGGGGGCCCCTCACCTTCCAGCGTGGCGCTGGCAGGGTCAGTGTCCAGGTTGTAGTGGCGCAGGCTGGGCCGTGCCGCGCGGCAGAGCTGCTGCAGGGCTGGGCGGCTGCTGCGGCGCCGCAGCCGCGCCGTGCGGTTGCAGTACTGGGAGATGATGGCCCCGAGGCTCCGTCCTGCGGATCAGAGCAGGGCTTGGGCAGGAGAGCTCTCCAAGGGGCTCTGGGACCTGGGGAAGGGTGGGAACGTGGGTGGCACCTACCGATGGTGCGGCTGGGCATGTTGGCCAAGATCTGCAGGGAGGCAGAGGAGTAGCTGGGGTGCTCCTCACCTTGCCCGGGCTCTGCCCAGGCCACCGCACAGGCATCTCGAGTAGCCAAGGAGTCTGGGGACTCTGGGAGGGGGAAGGCAGGATGCAGAGAGCCCATGGCTCATCTCTGTGTCCCTGCAGCTCTGCTCCAGCACAGAGGCTAGGTGCGTGCTCTTCCCAGAATACTCCCTTCTCCAGGGACACTTTCTGTGTCCCCAAGATCTGCTCTGCCCTAGATTGCCCTGCTCTGCACTGGCCAAGGCATCAGCAGGCTCCCACGAATGCTTTGGCCACAGCACTGACACGTGACACAGCTGGCCCAAGCAGAAGCACGGCCTTGGGCACACACACTGTCCCCAGCCTGCCCCAGCTGAGGCTGCAGTGCTTTACCTCTGCTCCTCTCCTGCAACTCCAGCTCCAGACCTGCCTCGATCAAGCTGCTCTGCTCCAGGATGAGCTGGTGGAATGAGGTGTGCAGGGCTCTCTCGTTGTCCGGACTGAGCTCCTGGCTGCAGGAACACAGGGACAGGGTGGCATAGACAGCCGGTGCCTGCAGGGAGCCCCTGGGATGCAGGTCCCAGAGCACGGCAGGGCAGTGGTGGGGGGTGTCACACTCACCCATCGCTCTCGGTGCCCTCGGGGACGTAAAGAGTGATGGAGGGCGGCTGGGACATGCTGCAAGCCCGAGCGGGTCCCTCCTACACGGGCCCTGCCGTAGTGAGCAGACGGCTCCCTCGGTTTCCGCGGCTCCCAAGCGCTGCGGGGCGGGGATGGAGTCGGAGCCGCTGCTGCGGGGTCGGAGGCAGGCGGAGTCCGCGGGACTAAACTGAGACTAACCCTGGGTCCAGCCCAAGCGGGCGTCAGGAAGGAAGAGACGGCGGATGGGGCGGTGCCGCCGTCGAGCGGGTTCCGCCCGCTGTCCCGGGACCCCGCGGGTCAGGCTCGAAGGCTCCGAGCACCGGTACCGGAGCTCAGCTCGGGAAGGGCCGGACTGGTCCTAAGAGGGCACATGGGAGGACAGATCCCCGTGCCGCCCACCGTGTTCCTCGCCCAGCGCTGTCTCCTTCCTCCCCTGCTCTCCCTCCTCCACCGCCCTCGGGCTCCGCAGCCGCCCCGGGGCGGGCTAGGGCTGCTCGGGGCTGGTGGCCACCCTGGGGGTCCCCGTCAGGCTCCTCTCCAGCCGACACCGGGAACCGATGGAAGGTTCTCCGGCGCTCCCGCCGCCCACTGTCCGGATCCGCATCCACCCTACCGAGCCCTGTCCGTCCCGTCCCTCTTACCACCACCCGGTACCGGCTGGGGGCGGCGGGAGCACCCCCAGAACCCCCCGTTTCCCCTCGGCTGCACTCACCGGGGCCCGTCGGCGGCCGAGGCGTGGGGCCGGCGCTCCCCGTCCCCCGTTACACCGGGGCGGAAGGAGGGACGGAGCACCGGGCGGGGACACCGGGACACGGTGCGGGACCAGGGCGGCGCTCTGTGTCCGGGCGGGGGAGCCCCTGTCCCGCCGGACCGAGCCCTCTCGCCCCGCCCCGGCGCTCCCGGGCCGCAGGGGCCGGCCCTCCCGGGGCGGTGCCGTGCAGGATCGGCGGCGGAAAGCAATGGAAGGCGGCGGAGGCGCCTACGGGGCGGCCAAGGCCGGCGGTGCCTTCGACCTGGTCCGCTTCATACAGCAGCCGCAGGTGCTGGCGCGGATCGTGAGCGCGGTGAGTGGGCGCGGGGCGGGACAGCCTCACCGGAACGGCCCCGCCGCCCTGCCCGGTGCTCCTCTCTCGCCGGGACGGGCGAGCCTCCGAAGGGCTCCCCCCGGCCTCGGTGCCGCCCACCGGACATCGGCTCCGCCCCGCAGGTCTTCGCTCTGATCGTGTTCGCCTGCCTGGTCGGGGATGGCTACATGAGCCTGCCCGAGAACCCCGAGCTCTTCTGCGTCTTCAACCACAACGAGGACGCCTGTCGCTACGGCATCGGCATCGGCATCCTCGCCTTCCTCGCCTGCATCTTCTTCTTCATGGTGGACGTCTATTTCCCCCAGATCAGCAACACTACCGACCGCAAGTACCTGGTCCTGGCAGACCTCGGCTTCTCAGGTACGAGGGGCGCGGGGAGGGCTGTGCCCGTCGCCACAATGGCCGCCTTGTCCCGTGACGTGGCTGCCAGTGCCTGGCGAAGGGAGTCGCTCCCGTCTGGCGTTCTGCCCGCGGGCCACGCGCTGCTGCTGCTGCTGCTGCTGAGTGCCCCAGGAGTGGCTGCCCCTGGCCGGGTGCCTGTGCCAGCCTGCACGGGCGAGCAGGGTCTGGCCCCGGGACTGCCCAGCAGCAGGAGGACCAGCCCTGGCCCCTCATGCTACTTCCCCCCACAGGTCTCTGGACTTTTCTGTGGTTCATCGGCTTCTGTTTCCTGACCAACCAGTGGTCCTGGACACGGACCGAGGATGTGTACATCGGAGCAGATTCTGCCCGTGCTGCCATCACCTTCAGCTTCTTCTCCATCTTCTCCTGGGTGAGTGAACCACTCTGCCCCACTTGGGAGGAGCGCAAAGCCCCTGTACTCCATAGCCTGGAATGGCCTTAATCCTGTTGCCCCCTTCTCTCTGCAGGGTCTCCTGCTCACCTTCGCTTACAAGAGGTACAAAATGGGGGTGGAGGACTTTGCTCAAAGTTATGCCGACCCCAGCCCGGGAGTTTCGACTCCCTACTCAAGCTATCCCAACATCAGCCACGAGAGCTACCAGCAGCCGCCCTTCATGCAGACAGCCGAGGCCCCGGAGGGTTATCAGCCACCACCAGTGTACTAAGCCCTGGCTGGCACCCGCGGCACGGCTGTACCAGTGCAATTCCTTCCGCGGGGTGGGAGGGAGGGGTCTGAGACTTGGAGGGGACAGTGGGGCGGGAGGGTGATGGCTGCTTTGTTTTAAGGTGACTGGGCCTTTTCATGGGGTGCAGGAGGGGCTTCTGCCTGGTCCCGGAGCTGAGATCCTCCCTGGAGGGTCCAGAGCCCAGTGTGCACTGTGTGATTCGGCACACGATGATGTGCAGCTGCTGGGTGAGCGCTGCAGCTGCAGGAGGTTGGGTGTGTGGGTGGCCCTGGCAGGTATGACCCTCTGCTTTTGCTGCAGTGCCTTGGTGGTGGGGTGCAGTTCCCATCCCCTGACCCTGGCCAGGCTCTGCCCCTGTGACTGTTGCCCTGCCCCATCCTGTCTCCAGTGCCTTTCAGCCCTGCTGGCTGCATTCCCCAAGTGCCATCTCTCACTGCCATAGCACAGCCCAGCCCAGCTCTGCCTGTGCCGGCTCTGTGCCTTCCCCCAGTGGCTGCTTCTGGGTGAGCTGTTGCCAAAGCCCCTCTTACCTTGTCTCTAATGCCATGCTGTGCCTTCCCCCAGCCTGCACTAGAGCAGCTGGTGCTTGGATGATGTGGTTTGGGGTCTGTGGGAGCAGAGAGCACTGAGATCCCTCAGCAGAGCCATGGCTGAGGATAGTCCTGGAGCACTTTCTTTCCCTTGTGTGCCTGCCCAAGTGCTGCCTCTGCTGCTGCAAGGCTGAGCTCCTGCACCCTGCCCATGGCTCCCACCTGCACTCCAGCCCCACCAGGAGCCTGTGGGCCGTTGTCTCAGGTTGTGTTTGCTGCTGTGCTGTGGTAAAGCTGTTCCCAGCAGCCGTGTGGGCCACCACTGCTGGAGCCAGTGTTCAAGTAGTTGTTATTGTAGGGTTGGAATAAACTTTTTCACCAAGCCACCATGTGAGCCACCACGTGCTTTTTGTCTCAGGGGAAGCAGAAAAGGCTCCAGCCTTCTGCCCTGCAAGGGCTGGGGGTGGCAGGTGGAGCCGTGCAGCCCCTGCCAACTGCTGTGCTGCAAACAGCACACTCATGCTGGTGGCTATTTTTAGGCCACCCTCCTCATGCTCCCTGGTCTGAGCAGAGCTCCAACACCAGGCCTCTGAGTGGCCCTCCTGCCCTGTGACCAACCCCTGCTGTCTCACTGACCACGGCCAGGAAGACGTCGCAGAATGCTCTGGTAGAAAATACACACACAGATTATTTATCATTAAGTTATTTATTAACGAAGTGGCAGCAATGCCTTCCCTAGCCCTGGGGAAAAGCCCAGGCCTGGTGCTCATGAGTAGTTATTCTCACCTGTAACATGGTGGCAGCAGGGGGAGTTCAGGCAGCTCTTGGAGCCCTCCAGGCTGCAGGCAAACAGCAACCCTGGACTCAGATGCAGAGGCCTGGCTTGGCCAGAACAAAGAGCTACTGCTCTGAGCCTGGGATGCTGGCTTCCAGGAAAAAACACTTTTGCAGGGAATAAAGAAGCAACAACCTTCCAGCATCTGAGTCAAACAAAGAGGGAAGAGGATCTTCCAGTCAGCTTAGAGCAGACTAAGAGTTAGCCTCGAGAATTTTGGAAGGCTGAGGAAGGAACAAGAGACATGACTAGAGTGAAAAAGCAGCTCTTTAGAGAGCCCCTATACCAAGCAGCTGGATCTTCCCTGGAATAATTGTCCAATCTAACTCTGGGCCTTTAAACCCCTCACAGGTAACATAGCACCAAAGTGGCAGTACCAGCCTTGAACCTCAGAAAAACTGCCCTGAATTTGAAGGAGGCTCTTCCTGGGACCAGCTCCTCCAAAGGAGTCTGTCACAGCCTGCTAGAACACAGCCAGCCCTTTGAGGTTCAACACCTCAGAAGAGTCAGCTGCTAGGCCTCCTTCACCTTCTTCTGTTTCAACAAAATTGACAAGGCAGTAACACCAGCGAGCATGCTGGCAGAGAGGCTGGGGGCCTGCCCAGGGCTGGGCTGCCACCCGTGTCAGTTTAAAAGCTGTGTCACAGCTCTGTGACAAGCAACAAATTGCTTCAGACTGTTACAAAAGGAAACTAAAATTTACATTTAAAAATATAATTACATTGTATACACTGGCTGTACATTGTCTTGAGAAACCTGGCATTTAGCAACAGCGCATTAGAGAAAGGCTGCATTCAGAGGCACCAGAAGCAGCAGCAGGGCCCGCCTGAGCACAGTTAGACCACGGGGACAGCTAGCCAGAGCCACGGTGAGCGGCAGAAGTGCTGTAGCCTGGCTCCACGTGTAGTGCCCCAGGGCCTGTGTGTGGCAGCATCTGTAACTGTGCTTGTCTCTCCTTGTTCTGAGATGGGAACTCACTCTAGCCAGGCTTTTACTTCAGCTTCCACCAGCACCAGGCTTGGTGGATCCTCGGGCGTGGCGCTTGGTGCGGGGAGGTTGGGTAGGGAGGGCTGAGGCACTGCACAGTTGCTGAAGTAGAGAGAGGCAGACCCGGTGCCTGTGAGCCACAGCACTGAGCTCCCTTCCCCTCCATTTTCCCAGCAGTCAAGTGAAGATCTTGCGAGGGACAGCTGTCTCCAGCTGCCTCAGGCCCAGGGGCACGTTCTCCTTGTTCTCTGGCCCAGCCTGCTGGGGTCGCATGCGGAAGTAGCAGGCTCGGCACACGGAGTGGTACTTGTCGGCTCCTCCAATCACTTCAACCTGGCAGGGAAATTCGGGGAGTGACTGCAGAGCCCAGCTCCCTGGAGGGAGTTTCTCTGTACCAGCAGGACTGGCAAGGAGAAGCAGTTTCTGTTCCAAGAGGACTCACCTCCCGCTCTGCTCCCAGCCTCTTGGTGTAGGAGGCCTCCCGGAAGCACTCCATGCACACGGCGTTCAGCTTCACCACGCTCTCTGCCAGCGGCACCAGGTTCAGGATGCTCCCAAAGGCCTGTGTGAGACAGCAGGGAAGATGCTGCTGGGTGGGTTCCACAAGGGTCCCAAAGCAGCTGGTGTACCAAAATGAGTGTTTAACCTTTCTCTGGAAGGTCCCATCCAGAGCAGCAACAATGACGGTTTTCCCAGTGTTGGCCATTGTCTCGCAGAACTCCACAATGTCTGGGAACTGGAGGAGGTACAGGCACATTGTAAGGAAGGATAGGGGGCAGCACTTGGCTCCAGATCCCACAGTGCATGCCCAGACAGCAGCACCAGGAACAAGGAAGATCAGAGTTCCTGCTGCTGCCCTGTCTGTGAAATGGGCTCCAGTCCCACTGTCCTCTGTAGGGACTACACGGAAGGAGGGCTTGACTAGAAACATACGGATCAAACTGCCCCAGGGCCTTACTTCCCACCCTCTCCTGCAAAGGACACAGACCTTGGTCTGCACAGGGTGTACCGAGGAGTGCGTATCCCGCAGAGCCCAGCGCACCCACCCCAGCCAGGCACTTACGAACTGGCCCTCATCGATGCCGATGACGGCGGCGCCCAGCGCTTCCTGGTACACGTCCTGGAGGAGCCCGGCGGGCACGGCGTCCATGGTGCTCCTGTGGGCAGGGAGGGAGTGAGCGGGACAGGCCAGGCAGCCCCGTGGAACTGGGGTGTCCTCCCGCCCGGGGAACTCACTTGTCGTGTGTGGAGACCCCGGAAGAGCTGTAGCGCGTGTCCTTGGCATACTTCACCAGCAGACACCGGTACTGGGCGAGCTGGAACCGCCGCACTCGCCGCATGAGCTCCGTGCTGCAAGACACGGTGTCAGCGGGGCTCGGCCTCAGCCTCAGCCCGCCGCCGGCCCGTGCCCCCCGCCCTGCGCCCCCCGCTCCGCGCCTACCTCTTCCCGGAGAACATGGGCCCGAAGATCACCTAAGGGCAGAACAACGGGGTCACAACAGCAGTCAGCGGGAAGCCCCGGCTCCACCCAGTGCCGGTGCGGCCCCCTGGCCCCGCAGCTCCCTCAGCCCGGTGACCCGGCGGGGCACCTATACCTGCCCGTGCCCGGGGCAGAGCCGTACCCGAAGCGCGGGAGCGTTGCCGTTGCTGCATCTGTTCCCACACCGGTGCCTCAGGGTGGCACCTGTATCTACCCCCAGCCCTGCACACCGTACCTGTATCTGCCCGCGGGGCCGGCTGGGGGAGCCGGGATGAACACCGGGCACCGTCAGGCAGTTCATGGTGGACTGTCTGCCCGAGCCCGCGCGCGCCGCTCCGCCGCGGCCGCCTCAGCCAATTGGAGAAGGCCTCCCGCCCACGCGCCGCCGCGCTGGCCAATCGCGAAAGGGTCTGCGGCGCCGCGCGGCAGCGCTGCCCAATGGGGCCAAGGGCGCCAAAATTTTTATTTTCCTGCTCCCGCCGGCTCCGCCCCCGGTGGCGAGTGGCCAGTGGGAGACGGCCCCGCCCGCGGGCCTCGCCTCCCCGCTCTGGCCCCGCCCCCGGGCTCGAGCCTCGCCTCCGGGGCGGCCAATGGGAGCGGGCCCGGCCACACCCCGCTCAGGCCCCGCCCCTCGGCGGGCAGGCGGCACCGGGATCGGAACCTGCACCGGCACCGGGAGCGGCACCGGGATCGGGACTGGCACCGGGATCGGAACCTGCACCGGCACCGGGAGCGGCACCGGGATCGGGACTGGCACCGGGATCGGAACCTGCACCGGCACCGGGAGCGGCACCGGGATCGGGACTGGCACCGGGATCGGAACCTGCACCGGGAGCGGACGCACCATGGGCGGGTGGCGGGATATGTCCGCGGAGGTACGGGCTCCGAGGCAGTGCCCGCGGGTGGGCAGAGCGCGGTTCTCGCCCGGGCCCCGCCGCAGCCCCGCTGCCTCCCCGCAGGCTCTGGAGGACCATTACTCTCCCAGTCGCTGGTCCCCCCGCCTGGACCGGGACACCATCATCGACGCGCACCTCGCGGTGACGGCGGCAGGTGCGGAACGTGCGGCGCCGGGAGAGCGGCTGCGCTCGGTGCCACGGCCCCTTGCTCCACCGCCTCCCCCCTAGGAACCGAACGGGCCCGGGCCAGCGTGAAGACCTTGCTGCACGTCCCCTACGGCAACGGAGACCGGGAGAAGCTGGACATCTATTTTCCCACGGACCTTTCTGAAAGTGAGTGGCGGGGGTGGCGGGGATGGGAATGGGCAAGGTGGACACTGGGCTCACCCCTCGCTGTGCTGCGCAGCCTTCCCGGTTCTGGTCTACATCCACGGCGGATACTGGCAGTGCTTGAGGTGAGGTGGGCTGTCGGTGAGAGATCTTCGGGAAGGGACCCCCTCACCAACTCTTGCTGACCCCTTCTCCTGACACTGGGACTTGCTCTGGGTACGCGGGGTCTGAGCAGTCCCCAGCTGGCCCTGCAGCCTGTCAGCATCTCTCTCCCTCAGTAAGGACGACTCGGGATTTGCAGCCCCCCCGCTGGTGTCGCAGGGGGTGGCAGTGGTGGCCGTGGGGTATGACATAGCCCCTGAAGGTAAGTGCTGCCCTGCAGAGGCTGCAGCTGCCTGCATGGCCCAGCGCCCTCCAAGCCTGCCCTTTGTCCTCTGCTCAGGCCACATGGACGCCATGGTGCTGCAGGTGCGCCGCAGCCTCGTCTTCCTGGTGCAGCAGTACCCCAGGATCAGGTGGGCAGCTCCAGGCTGGGAGTGGCTGAGAGGGGAAAACAAGGCCTGCAGTGGGACAAAGGCTTTGGCACCTTGGTCCAAGCACTGGGCAGTGCCTGTGGCCACAATCCCCTGTCACTGCACAGGCAGCAGCTGATGGATTGGGAAATATCTGAGCTGACGCATTTGGGCTGTGGCACCTCCTCTGCACAGAGCAAAGCCTGCCTAGGTGTCCCTGGGTGTCCCTGGGTGTCCCTCTCAGTCGCTCCCTCCTTTCAGAGGCATTTACTTGTGCGGACACTCAGCAGGGGCCCACCTGGCGGCCATGGTGCTGTCCACAGACTGGACTGAATTCCAAGTGGTGCCAGATATCAAAGGTAGCGTTGCCATGTCCCAGAATAGGGTTGGGAGAAGAACTGATCTCCACACCTGGGACAAGGCTGCGGGGCTGTGGACCCCAGCTATCTGATTATGAAGTCCCCAGGGCAGTGGAGTGCCCCAGGCTGCAGCTCCTCACCTGCCAGTGCCTCTGCCTGCAGGAGCAGTGCTGGTGAGCGGCGTGTATGACCTGGAGCCCATCCTGCACACCTACGTGAACGATGCTCTGAACATGAGCCGGTGAGCTCACACGCTGTGGGGACAGCCATGGGGACACAGCACAGGCAGGCCAACCTCAGTGGCTCTGCAGCCACTCCATCCCACGCCTGCCCCAGCTGGTGAGTCCAGCTGACGGCACGGGTGGAGTAAAGGGCTGCATCAGCTGCCCCCGGCGTGACTCCTGCAGGGAGGTGGCCCAGAGGAACAGCCCCATGAGACACGTCCCCACGGCAGTGCCAGCAGCCTGTGAGGTGCTCGTGGCTGTGGCCCAGCATGACTCCCCAGAGTTTCGCAGGCAATCACAGGAGTACAGCCAGGTGAGCACCAGGCAGTCGCAGGACTGAAGCCAGGTGAGCTCCAGCAGCACCCTGCTTGGCTCTGGTTGGGACACTACTCCAGGCAGCCCTCACCAACGTGCCCAACCAGGAAGAAGACTTCTGTGCTGAACCAGAGCAGTTTCTGGCTCACTGGAGGACACCAGTCCTTGCCAACACATTATTCCTGCTGCTTGTCCAGGGCAGGTGGAGTTTGGGGGTCCATCCTGCCGGCACTGCTCTCTCCACAGGCCCTGCGTGCAGCAGGCTGGTCTGTCTCTCTGCTGGATCTGGCTGGTGTGGATCACTTTGATGTTATTGAGAAGTTGTCGGAGGATAGCTACATCCTCACTCAGGTAGGTAGGAGGGCTGTGCCAAGGTGGATCACCTGCCAGAAGGTGCAGGGTCAGGGGCGTCTCACAGGCGTTCCTGTGGTTCCTCATCCCAGGTGATTCTGAACATGATTTCAAGAGCATGACAGCATGTCAGGAGTAAACAGATGGTGACCATGGCCCTGTGTGGTGGCGTCCCCCTGCCTGCTGCCTCCTCGGTCTAACACAGAGTGACCACTGCCTCAGACCCCCATTGTGCCCTCTCTGCTCAGCCCAGTCTAGGCTGGTGCCCCTTCCCTGGGGTGTTCCTGCCCACTGGAGTGCAGGGGACTGAGGGCAGCAAGGCTCTGTCTGGGCAGCTGGATCATGAAGTTTGTTCCCTCAGTGTCCTTTAAACTGCACATTGGCAATACAAAATAAAATGGGAATTACTGCTGCCGGGGGTAGTGCTTCCCAGGGAGCCAGTGAGTGCACACCCAAAGGAACTGCTGCTGAGAGAATCCCTTCTTCCAGTGCAGAGTTCTGGGACTTGCTGACCCAGATCATGACAGCTGGGGAGGCCACCTGCTGCTGTGGGGCAGAATGACATAAGCCTCTGTGAATGGGAGTGACAGAGCCATCTGGGCCAGGCTTATCCTCCTGGGACAGTCCTGGCCAGACACAAACCTTGGCATTGCTGTGCAGCAGCCTTGGTCCTGTGGCTGAGATGCTTCCATGTCCTCATGAGCATTTGTCCTTCCTTGGCTGTGATGATGTCCCTGCTGCAGAGCAAGGAAAAGAGCATAATTCAGGGAAAACACCCTGCACAGCTACAGTACCACCAAAACGTGTTTATTTTGTGCACTGACTGCCTCAAGGGCTGAGATCTCCACTAGGCTGGGCTGACATTGGTTTGTCAGGCTGCCTGTGAGGGCTGATGTCAAGTTTCAGATGGCTGGGAACACATCTGGAGCACAAAGGGGCTGGTCCCAGTCCTTGCTTTGGGCTGCCTGACTGCTGCAGAATGCTGGCAGAATGCTCAGGCTCCCCCAGTGCCTGGAGGCGTTGGATGCAGTCCCAAGGCCAATTCCTCCTGGCACTTCCTGGCCACAAATTCCAGTTTTCTCCTGGCGAGCTCGGTGTGATGGGCCGAGATGTCGCGGTGCCAGACGGCGCGCGCAGTCCGTGCTGACCAGGGCAGCAGCAGCACGCTGACAGCCTGCCCCGTCTCAGCCTCCTCCTCCTCGCTGACGGCACGCAGGCGGTCACAGAGCTCGGCAGGGGACGGCCAGGGCCCCTGGACATTTACCATCACAATGTTGGTCTCCACTGCTGCCAGGTTGATGGAACAGAGGGGAGAGTCCAGTGCGTGGATTCCTGCGGGAGGCCGAGGTGATGCATTGCCCTGGAAGAGGCTCCCTGCCCCAGCCCGCCCCAGGTGCTGGATGAAGGAGAGCCCTTCCTCCCCCCTGTGGTACCACGGTCACTGAGCACAGCACGGGGACAGTGATGGCATGATCCCAGCAGGATCCTCACCCAGCTGGAGACCCAGTGCAGCCATGCAGGGATGGTGCCCAAGGCACCAGTAGGGCAGTATTGCCGGGCAGTGCCAGGCGTGCTGTTAGCTCCCAGCACACTCGGCGCCCTGAGGTACCTTCTGCGAAGCGCCGGGCATTGTCGTGGTCCCTGCGCAGTGTCACCTGTGCGTGCTGCAGCCCGAGGCGGGCAGCGGCCGCCAGCACTCCCGCCTGCCGCATGCCCCCGCCCAGCAGCTTCCGCACACGCCAGGCCTCGCTGACAAACTCCCTGCACCCGGCCAGCACCGCCCCAGCCGGGGCGCCCAGGCCCTGCAGAACCACCAGCAGGGTCACTCCAGCTGTCTCAGGGCAGCTGCCCCTCCTGGGCTGGGGCCCAGCCTGCCAGGGGTGTTCTTAGCCCAACATCTGCAAACACCAGCTTGTGCTGGCCTCTGCCAGCCCTGGGGACCCCTCCCCACACAAGCAGACCTTGGAGAAGCAGAGGGACACAGAGTCACAGTGCTGGGCAATCCGAGCTGGCTCCACACGCTGGGCCACTGCTGCATTCATCAGTCGTGCGCCGTCCATGTGCACCCGCAGCCCGTAACGGTCTGCAAGCCCCCGGACCTGGCAGTCAGAGGGACAGCTGGTTTGGGAGGGACACTGGGGCATCCAGTGCCACCACGAGCCATGCTCTGGGCTCCCGTGTCCCCGCAGTGCCACTGTGCAGGGCCCAGCTGCCCACGCCAGGCAGGATTCTACCAGCACCATCTATGGGCTCTCACCTGGCTGAGATAGGTGAGGGGCAGTGCCCGGCCCCCCGCCGAGCTGTGCGTGTTCTCCAGACAGATGAGCTCAGGCCGCGGGTAGTACTGGCTGCCGTGGGCCTCACGGATGGCCAGCTCCAGCTGCTCCAGGTCCAACGTGCCATTGGGCAGATCAGGCAGTGCCTGGGAGTGCACACCGGCCACCTGTGCCCAGGGCAGGGCAGAGCATGGAACTGGCAGGGGACAGCGGTGGAGCACGGGGGCTCCAGCCCTCTGTCCCCTCCACCGGCCGTGTACAGTCCCACCCGTGCTGCAGCCCGTGGCTTGGCACAGCAATCCCGGTGATGCTCTGGCAGCGATCCTCCGCCTGGCCCGGCCCTGGCAGCCAGAGGAGGGCAGCACGCGGCCACCCTCCTGCCCTGCGAGCGCTGCCACCAGCGCCACCAATGCCACCAGTGCCATAAGTGCCACAGTGCCCACCGTGACTGCCCGCCGCGCTCACCTGCGCGGCCCCGCCGTGCTCGTACAGGTGCAGGTGCGTGTCCTGGCCCAGGAACAGCTGAGCCCCCCTGCGCTGGCAGTGGCACATCACTGGGAGAGAACGGCCGTGAGGGACGGGGCTGAAGGCAGCACCCCACAGCCTCGGGGCACGAGGGGCTGCGAGTGCGGCCCCGGACTCACCAGCGATGAGGTTGGCCATGGTGGCCGTGGGCAAGAACAGAGCCGAGTCCATACCCAGGATCCCCGCGGCCAGGCGCTGCAGCTCTGCGGGGGGACAAGGATGTCCTGGGGAATGGCGCTGGGCTGTCCCCGGGGCTTGGGGACCCCTCAGGGCCCGGCTGTCCCCGCACCGGGGGCTGGCAGGCAGGGACCCCGCGGCTGGCCCGTCCCCTCCGCGCACCGTTCACCGTCGGGTCCTCCCCGTAGTCGTCGTCGCCCACGGCGGCGCGGGCCATGGCGCGGCGCATCCCCGCGCACGGCCGGGTCACCGTGTCGCTCCGCAGGTCCACGGTAACCGGGGAGCCCCTGGGCACCCCCCCGGGTACCCCCTTGGGCCCGGGCAGCCGCCCCCGCCGCAGCACCGCCCGCATCGCCGGGACCTCCCCCCGCAAGGGCTCCCGGGAGGAGGCGGGATCGCCCGTCTCGGGATCGCCTGTCCCGGGATCGCCTGTCCTGGACACGGGGCTCGCACACGCGGGGCGGGCACGGGGCAGCGGCTCCCGTCGGGGCTGCCTCGGAACGCCGTCCCTACGAGCCTCCCATGCCTCCATCTCCCATCGCACGGGCGGGGGCTGCCCCGGCTCTGTCCCGTCCCGCTTTGCCCTCGCTTTGCCGGGATCCCATCCTGGGTGTCCGACCGAAGGGAGCGACAGGGGGATCTCCCAGAGTCTTTCCACGGCTGAGCAGGAATTACCCGCGCCCTGCTGCCAGCAAGGCTGGCACGGCACAGGGTGGTCTGGCCGCTGGGAACCGGCTCCGGCCCTGGCAGCACCGACGCCAGTCGGATGGCACCGCAGGTGGGCTGGCACTGCAGCGCTGCTCCGGGATCTCTGGGCAGCTTCACAGACCTCGGCACTCTCTGCCTGCTCTGCTCCACCAGCCTCTTGGCAGAAACCCCCACTGCCCCTCAGCGAAGGGCATTTGTCCAAAGCAGTAGCGAGACCCCCTCACCTGCCCCGGTTGGGCTGGACCAGCCGGCCCGTACTCCCTGCTGCTGGCACGGTGAGGGCACCATTCTGCAGCACCCAGCGCCTCTCCGGGCATTTGCAGGGTACCAATAGGGCAGGTGCATGAGGGTGCCTCTTCCCCTCAGGGGCATATGCTGCCCAGCCCCTGCCCACCTGTGTTAGTGCTGTGCTCCAGCCACCTGTGCTATGCTGTGCCTTCTCTCCCTCTGCCATGTCCCCCCAGCCTTGGCCACCCAGGTGCCCTATCCTGAGCCCCCTGCAGCCGCCCCACTGTGCCTGCTCTGCTCATACGCCTGCCTGTCCATGGAGCCCCCTCCCTCACTATCGCCTGTCGCCCCCCGTGCTGTCAGCCCCGCAGATGAGTGAGCCATAAACAGTCCTTCAGGAGACGTTTTTCACACTCAGGGCCACATGTTAACAGTTTTTCTTTATTTACTGCCTCCATTTCCTCTTTGTTCCAGGAACTTGTCCTCCAACTTCAAGCTGCTCATGATTAGGCAAAAAGGCCTCTAATCTCCCCGATCTGATTTACCGTCACTGAGAGCAGACGCTTCCCGTTACTGGCCCTGGACCTGGGAGCATGGACAGCTGAGCCGTGCCGGCTGCTGAGCCCAGCTGAGCCTCCCCAAAGCTGCCCCGCCACACACACACCGCCTTCCCGGCAGCTTCCTCTTCCAGTAAGCGCTGGGCAGTGCAGCCGGTCACGCCGCAGGTGAAGGGCTGGGGGAAGAGCAGCTGTGGGGCCCAAGGCCAGGGATCCCCCCTCCACCTGGGGAGGCTGCTGTAGGGCAGGGCAGGCTTTGGAGACACTTTCTGTGCTTGGAAGGGCTGGATGGCTGGAGCATCCCTCAGCATGGCCTTCCCAGCCACTCACCCATCCACTCCCAAGGCACCTGACGGGGAGGTTGATTGCCCTGGTGTGCCCAAAGCTGAAGGGGTCTGCTGTGGGCAGCCCCCCCAGCCCAGTGAGGGTCTGGAGCCAAGCAGGGGCTCTTTCACTGGGCAGCAGCCACAGTTTCTGCAGGACTGTGCAGTGTGGCTGGGTGTCTTCCACAGAGCCCCTTGTCTTTCAGCCCTGTGCCTTTCCCTGGGACTTCGGTCTGGGACCTGCCTTGGGGGTCTGCCCTTGCTACGAGCACCCACAGAGCTGCCCCTGTATGTGACCCAGCAGGGCCACGGTGGGGCTTGGTGGGGCCAGCACTGGGACCATGGAAGCGTTTGTGGCCTTACATGGAGCGGCTGAACTGAGGCCATGGGAGCTGGGCAGAGGGTGGGCAGTGCCAGCATCTGGCCAGGGGCTTGGCTGGCAGCTGGGGACTAGCAGGGAGCTCACCCAGGACCACACTGCACCACAGGACTGCAGTCACCACCTGCCCACACCAGCTCCTGTGGTGGGCTAAGCCCCTGCCCCGCTGGGCTCAGCTCCTGCTCCAGTCGTGCCTCCCCAGGGCTAAAATTAGCAGCTGAGGCCTGGCTGGGGAGCCGGGAGTGGAGCCCAGATCCCACCGCGGAGGATCGGGTTTCCCCCCTCCCT